TCCAGTGGGAAAAAACCCTACGTGCTGTCATTGGGTAGGAGCAGAGCCAATGACTTATGCCGTCACATGGTTACTCCAGTTAAAAAAAAAAAAAAAAAACCACTAAAGTAACACTAAGTTCCTTTGTAAATAAATACAAAGGAACTGCTTTGTATTTATTTACATTGCATTTTGTGTTCATGTTATTGTATCTACAGTATATATTTACAACTTTAAATAGTTTTTGTTTTTTATCAAAATGTTCTTGTGGTATTGTATGAATAACATAAGTCAACATAGCTTTACACATACACATACTTTGTACTAAAGGTAAATCCAAAATAGTGATATCACTTTCTAAGCAGAGGGATGTTGTGCAACCCTATGGAATATAGTCCACACATGACAAATTAGGTAATAATCAATATTTCAGAATAATTCAAACTCAGATATTGGTGTGTGATATCTGAGTTTTAATTAATTGACTACAAATCTCACCTCATCATTCCTCCCAGTGATTATTTCCAGGATAAACTGAGATTCCCCCAAGCTGGCTTCTTTAAACTGACTAAATATTTAAAAAGAGCCAAAAGAGCCGTTCTTTTGAACGGCTCTTTGAAAGGAACGGATCGCAAAGATCCGGATCTCCTCAAAGAGCCATAAATCCCATCTCTAGAAGTAAGGGGCGGAGCTTACGTTCTAACACCAGCGCCAGGGCCGGAAGTGAGGGGCGGAGCTTACGTTCTAAACCGAGTAACGCCACCTAACGTTTTGGAGCGTAATTTGCTTAGACACGAAACGGCATTATTACACACGAAACGTCATACTTTATACGTAATGTATTATAATGATACATTAAGGTATAGTACAATAAGCATTTTAAAACATTGATTTTGTGTAATATAATTGTATATAGTTATCTGTTTCATTATGAGAGTTACTTCCTGATCATTATGGTGAAAAATAATGCTTGAAACTTATGGGCATTTTATATAAAATATACTTTATTTCACAAGAAATAAATTTATTTTTCTTTATGTAAAATAATGTCAAAAATCTAAAAAGAGAGAGAAAATTCAGCATTGTTTTAAAAGAAACAATAAAAATGTACTAGCCTGACTTCGTCATACTCATATTCTAGTCAGAATGTGAGTCTGATACTGCTTCATAGGGCTTTGATTATGAGGCGTGTCTTAACCGAACCAGGAAAAAAAAAAACTCTGCACTCAATTGGATAGACCTACAACCAATGAGAGCAACGCAGTAAGTCAACTACTTTGCATAGCACAGTTGTCAACTACAGAACTCAAATGCACGCACGCTGGAAGAAGTAAAATAACGAGTGTTGCTTCTTTTACTTGGCCCTCTATGAGTGCGACCAAAGGAGAAACCACAACGACCACAGGGTTTTCATTGCGTCCCATCTTCTTAGTTACCATCGGAGCCAGCTGATAAATTAAACTTTTGCCGAATCCCGTAGGAAGGACGGCAAACACATCTTTCCGATCGACAAATGCCTTGATTGCAGTTCTATGTTCGTCTTTTAAAATGAATGCGCTGTCGATTTCTTTTACAACGGACGCGATAGCGGAATCTCTACATCTCAGTTCTCCAGCGGCAGTCATCTGTGAGGGAAACCAGTTCAACCCAAGCGCTCTTGATAACGTGAGGATTACGTCCCTGCAGATCATCTGTCCATCATCGTATAAAGCCCGCCCTGGCAATTTGATTGGCCCGACGATTTCTGAACCGATCATAATTACTCCTCAATGGAGCGAGTCCAGACCGAACTTCCCGATCAAAAAATGTTGTGGGCGGGGTTCGGGCTGGCATCCAGGCTAAAAATGTACCGTAAAACGTCAAATAATAGCCGAGTCCCAAATAGACGATTGTCTCTTTACACGCCTGGTGTGGCTGCAGGTTTGGGTAAATAAAGGCCGGTCTCAAATAGAGGTCGGGTCTGTTTTTTAGTTTCAGGTTGTATTTAATCTTTTTGCTTTTTGGCGGCCGCCAAAGCAAATTTGTGTCCCGCCAAAGCCTATTTTGATCGGTGAGTGATGTAGAATAGAATGACTGCTGCGCATGACAGGGCGCTTAACGAGCAGAGAGAGAGAGAGAGCCCCGGCCGCGCGCGCGCGCACTCTCACGTCTTCAAACAACACGAGCGCTGTCTTGCTCTTTATTTGTCACATAGGCCTACCAGTTATAATTCATACAACTAGCAGTGACTCACTGTGTAATAAAAACATACCCTAAATATTATTTAAAAGGTGCAACAATTTTAAATATTTTTAAATACTTGCAAGTTGCAAAAATAACCATGCTTGTGTCATTGTCAATATCCGCCCCTCCCTCACTTCCGGTTCTGGCGCTGGGGTTCTGGCACTGGGGTTCTGAAACTGGTGGTGCTGCGGGTCTGCAGCTGGATATATCTCGTTACAAGTGATAACCGTTTTGAGTTTTGTGTCTAGAGTTTTGAAAAATTACATCAAGGTTCTGAAAATAGTTGCAAAGTGATTGTAAAAAACTGTAGGCCTAATTAATGATCTTTACAGTGGAACTGAATCAACACTGAACTGACTTCAGCTGAACAAATGCATTATTTTCTATAAAGCGCTATAAATAAAGGTTAAAAAAAGATTGTGTGTGTGTGTGTGTATATGTTTTTCTATCCCGGTGGGGACTTGAAACTTGAATGCACACAGACTCATGGGGACTCGTGTCACTGTGGACCTAAATTGAGGTTCCCATGGGTAAACACGCTTATAAATCATACAGAATTATTTTTATTTTTTAAATGTAAAAATGCAGAATGTTTCCTGTGATGGGTAGTTTAAGGGGTCGGGTTAGTGTGGGACAGAATATACAGTTTGTGCAGTATAAAAACCATTATGTCTATGGAGACTGAGAGTCCCCACAAAGATAGTAAACCAGACGTGTGTGTGTGTGTGTGTGTGTGTGTGTGTGTGTCTCTCTCTCTCTGTGTGAGTATATGTATGTGTGTGTGTGTGTGTGTGTGTGTGTGTGTGTGTGTGTGTGTGTGTGTGTGTGTGTGTGTGTGTGTGTGTGTGTGTGTGTGTGTGTGTGTGTGTGTGTGTGTGTGTGTGTGTGTGTGTGTGTGTGTGTGTGTGTGTGTGTGTGTGTGTGTGTGTGCAGTGATGTAGTGGTGCCTGGAGAAGTGGGTATACTCTTAATTTATGCCCCCAATATTTTTTTAAGCGTCCCAGCAAAGGATGAATGCTCTTTGTTATAAACAGTGACATGTAAGACTAGTCTTGCATTAGTATTGAATATGCAAGACTATAGAATATAGAATATAATGAATATAATAGAACATAGAATCACTAGTATTCTTGCATATCAGGGGGGCCGTACGTAGGGTTTTCTAAATACCCAGGTCCTAAATGATATTGCTAGGGGGGTTGGGGGGCATGCTAAATTAATTAAATTAACTTTCCTAAATTAATCAATGTTTTGGGACTAATCTGTTCATTTAATTAATGGTTCAATAGCTCACTCATAAAGACAGTCACTTGTCGCCGCCTTCTGGCTTAATGATGCAAGTTGCGCAAACACAGACAAGCGGAGTGATACAAACAGTGAAAAGTCGAAAACATTCGAGGAAACGTTATACAAATATATTTATACAATAATAATGGCAATATATTTAATAGGGTGCAAATCACATCAAAGTTCATTTTAGCTCATGTTTTGTTCTCACTGTTGCAGAAATATTTAAAATCAGATGCAGTAAAAGCAAATTATATATTAATAATGAATTACTGACATTTCTCTTTCTAACACCACCTATATTTTATTACTTGCAAAGTATCTAAAACTAATTAGATATTACAGTATAATCCATATATTCCACAATAAACCAGAACACATCTGAGGAGGACTGAGCACGACTGAGATCATTGTTTGCCAGAGAATAGTTCGTCTTGTGTTTGAATCTCTAGTTTATTTGCCTGTGAAGAAAAGAGGGAACGTCGTTTGATAAAAACCCTGTTGATCTGATCTGACAGTGAACTCAAAGTCTTCAATAATAATCATTTAGAGACTACATTGAATATTTGTTCTTTTGTTCACTTATTATTGAATATTTGAGTGAACTGTAAAAAGCACAACAACAACAAAAGTGTGGGAAAACTCAAAAACAGCTCAAGTGTGATTTGTTTCTCATTTTTGGTCAGGCTTATTCCCACCCGTCAATTTTTTGCACTTTTATTGTTTTATCTTACTTTTGTGACTTCAGTTTTTTTATGTTTTTGAGATGTTTTTTTTTAACTTTAATAATTAAGAATGAATAGGTGTATCCTGACTTTTGACTAAATATATACAAAAATATTGATATTTAAAAAACAAATTTTCAAGGACAATTATATGTAGTGTACTTGTGCCATCTAGCGGTTGTTTGACATAATACACTAGAAATACAACATAAACTACTACAAAGTCAAACAAAGCAACAACAAGTCAAACAAAGCGTCTATTGAAGTTAAATTTGTTTAGTTTTAACCATAGACTGTAAAAAATAAGTTTTAACTAGTGAATTGTATGCAAATTCATTGTAAATTAGTTGCAGATCATCTCTGGTCGGTTTCAGTCACCAGGTGGCGCACGTGTCTGTCTCAAACACTGTGAGGCGTCTAAAAATACTGCCTGATTGTTTTTACACGCTTGTTTTATATTCTTAAATAATAGTAATAATAGTTATTTATAGCATATTATGTTTCCATAAATTATCGATGTAGTTATTCAGAGTTAGAGGTCTACAGAGAGATTCACGGTCCCTTGAAATCAGTTTTTTTTTTACTTTATAATACTTTAAAAAAATTCTTTTTCCGCGTTTATTTTAGGCTACTTTATAAATTATAACGGCCATGACAGACAACAAGTGGATCATAGCGAGTGAAAATGTGGGTTGATTTTCACTCAGGCGCGTTCATGTCAGACTCGTGGGGTCTTATGTAAGAGGAGTGCGCGCTGCGGAGCGTCATTCGGCGGCGGCACGAGATGAAGTTCCAGTGATGTTTACTGTCGAGTGATTTTAATGTTATTTAGTATGTTAGTTAATGTCACATCATGAGTTTATTTTAAGATTAAGCTTCACTTTAATCATAAGTATCGACTCAGGAAGCAGAAGAGCGCGGAATATCGATCCGTGACCGGTTATTGATCATCATGCCGCCCATCGAGAATGACGGGGGTCGCGAGCAGATCCGACTGAAAATCAAAGAACTGATCGATTCCAATCAAGTGATGGTGTTCAGCAAGAGCTTCTGTCCTTTCTGCGTCAAGGTGAGTGAAGATCCGTCAAAAATATGACTTATATCTCCTCGAAACTGTCATGTCATGTAAGAAGGTTTGTAAAAGAAGCAAACAGTGTATAAGGTTCTGAAGCTTACTTCTTAAAGGGACAGTTCGCCCAAAAATACAATTCTGTCATCATTTACTCGGCCTCAAGTTGTTCCAAACCTGTATGAACGCAAAATAAGATATTTTGAAGAATTATGGTAACCGAACAAGTTGATGGACACCATCGACTAACAAGAAAGAGTCATATGATCCATTCTTTGTTTCAAGAAAAAAAATCCATAACTTAGAGGTTTGGAACAATTTGAGGGTGAGTAAATGATGACCGAAGTGTCATTTTTGGGTGAACTGTCTCTTTAATTTGTGTTCAGTTTTCTCTTTTCTTTGAGAAGGCAACTTTAATAAAGTTGTTCAATTATTCTTTTCACATGTTTGAAACTAGTTATAGTTTGGGGAGAAATTTGCTTGAAAATATCTCGCAAATTTATATGGTAAAATTAAATGGTTTAAAAATGTATTTATTTAAAATATTTAACGTCTGGATTTAATATTTCCATGTTATGGCTGAAATAAAATAAAATCCTATGAGTTTATGTACTAAAAACTAAAATCAATAGTTTGTCAATGTCAAGTTCATGTTTTTAGGAATCACAGCATTTATAATGTACAGTGAGAAATATAGATAACTTTGTTTTATGATCTATAGACTCATGTCTATTTGACTTTAAAAAAAACATCTAAAGGTCTGAGGTGTAATAAAACATTCTTCAAGAAACCGAACTCTGTTAAATCTGCTTTAATTCATCAATGTTGCTTTAAGGTAACTTTAAATGGTGGCAAATGAAATATCCAATTATGACTGATGATGAAGAAAACACTTGACTAAAGTAAACTAAACGATCCTGTGATCTGTGCATCTGTCGACTGAACCAATTCTGTAGTAATTATTTTAAGAACGGTAGAGACTGTCTAGTTTTGCTCTGTAGGTCATGTCTGATGATTTGATTTGACACTGAGTCCAGAATAAACTACTTGTGGAACCAGAAATAAAACGGCAGGTTGGGAATGATTAGGGTACAAAGTAGTTATAGATATCTCCGCTTTTATCACGACTTAAATTATTTTACTCCTTTGTATTTTTGTACATAACATAAGTGCTTCACGGCTGATTTCATGTAGTTTATTTAATGCTGTTACTCTGTACTGTTATTTACATGTATTTAAATGGATGTTTTTCCGCTGCTAAATGTTATCATGTTTGAAACGCGAGTCTTGTTGAATAACTAACATGTTGGGCTTTCTGTGGTTTCAGGTGAAGGATCTCTTTAAAGAGCTGAATGTCAAGTGCATTACGTTAGAGCTGGACCTGATGGGTAAGATTTTGCATAATGACTTTTATAATAATTCCTTTCCGAGAGTGAAATGAAATGCATGGAGGATGTGTAGTATGAACTAATGGCAGATTGTTTTCATATGTACATTTCCACAAATATGTCTTCAGAGCTCATTGTCTGTCAAACATATTTAATTTAAGAAACGTGTCTTGAATATCTTTTTTTATTCTAAATGGTAATACCTTAAATGTGGTTTTCGCCACCAAAATAAACAAATACTCTGGCATGGAATTTAAAAAACAAACTATAATGTTGTTTTTTTTTTTTTTACATGAAACTAAAGTTTTAGAACAAAAAAAAACTACAAAAAGAACTGTTTTTCACAATGAAAAATTTGCATTTTTGCGCCCTACTCTGTATTTATTTGTTTATCAGGACTATTCAACTTCAACAACAATTGGGCCAAATTATAAATAAGATTATGAGTCTAAATAATTTACTGAGATAGATGCCAGATCTGAGATTACATTTATATTTGTTGACCACATTTAAAACGATGTTTAGTTTGATTTGCTGAACATTCAGTTGCATAACATTTTTACCTGAAGTTCTCTCTGATACGCAAGATAACTGAATGTGCATGTCTTCTGCATGCTGCGATTATGTAATGTCCACGTTTAGGGTTACAGCAGTTTTACTACCTCATCGACTCGACCCATTGACAGAAGTGCTGAGATACTCATGCATGTGTTCTCTGAACATTGTGCTGAACCTCTGAAGTTAATGTTTAAGCGTTTAGAGCAGTTTTTGCCATGATCTGCTGAGTCACTCCAACCAACTCATCTTTCCTTGTTTTCATTCACTCATTTGCACCCCACCATGTCTCATTCATGTCTCACGCTCGCCGTTATCTCGCTGTCCATGCACAGCTGTTCTGCTCATGTTCGTAGTATCACACTGATAATGGGTTCCCTGCTGAAAGGCTTTAAACCTGATTAGCTGTTTCGGAGCTCGGAGCCAAACATTAGTTTCAGAAGAAGTGCCAGATCCGAACCCGATTCGATTATCCATCTTGGAGGGCCGCCCATGTGGTGTAGATGTGAAACTTGAGCGCTAAGATCCTGACTGATCATGTCTGATGTGTTTTAGAGGACGGGACCAACTACCAGGACTTACTGCATGAGTTAACCGGACAGAAAACCGTCCCCAGTGTCTTCATCAACAAGAAACACATCGGAGGCTGCGACAACACCATGAAGGTACTGACTCCTCCGTTCGATCTCGGCATGTGTTCAAAATATCGGAAAAAACTTGCATTGCAATATTTAGTTTTTCTGCGATTTTGTGTTGCGATATAAAAACAATTTCACCAGATGTTTTGAATAGCTCTAGTTGAATAACTTTGAAAAATAGGGGTGATTTTATAGGGGAATAGGAAATAATAAACAAATTACAAGCATAGATCAATACAATAGAAAGATACAATTGAAATGAAATCTAACAGCACGATATCGATGCTAAAACGATATATCGTGCAGCCCTAGTTCGACAGTGAGTCTTACTCGGTCTCAGACTTTTGTCTTTTAATAATGTCTGCTCATTATTTATTCTATTCATGTAGACGAGGAACATTTGATTGACATGCGAAGCGACCAACCGTAGTTTGATTAGTTTGCTCTGAAACATGCACAGGTACAGAAGTGTTCGTGAATGTCTTTACAAACCAAAGATCACCAGAGAAATTAGTTTTGTTAATTTACAGACATAAAAATGACATTTCCTCAAGCAAACTCTTTTCAAGATTAAAGATTTGATGGCATGAAACCTTACTGACTTTATAGAACGATAAATTCCCAAGCTGTCTACTACATTTGCTAAAAAAGCATAAATCCTGGCATACGGTTCCAACCGGTTTCTGGACGGGAACATGCAGTCAGTGTTTATTATGCAGTACATTAGGTTTTTTATTTTTATAGGCTAGTCATTAGTGACTGAGGTCGAGAACGTTCTGCTGCAGAATCGCCTCACACACACACACACACCCTTTCATTTTAGCTGTAGTAGAAGATTAAGAGAATAAGTAATTAAAACCTTTCTGTCCGTCCCACATGTCTGCTAGAAGGTGTTTTTCCCATTTAATTGACAAAATTGCAGTCATCATTGATTCAGGGCAGGACTTTCAGTTTCATTGTAGAATGTGTTGGTTTCACTCTGAAACAAACTTCTCACTCGTCAAATTTTGATTGCAATTATGCAACCATTGTTATTATTAGGGCTGGGGAATTTCCTTAGACCTCCCGATATTATTTATCAATATTATAACAATTTCTAGCTTGCTATTTATTTTTTTATCTTTTTTTCATTTAGCATTTTATGTTTATTGTTTAATTTAATTTCTGCTTTACAACCTTACACATACTTTTTATTTATTAAAAAAAAAAAAAGTATTATAAAAAGAAGTGTTTAAAATATTTTGACTAATAATAAATTAAAATGTCATTTAAGTGAAGTATTTTTCAACTAAATTGCTTTTAAAAAATACAAATAGTGAAAAACAAATACATTAGAAGTATTAAAATGAAGTGCTTTCAGTGTATAACTGCAGGGCTCACTTAGAAATCACAACTGAGAAATTAACTAGATTGTTCAATGGGCCTTTAACTGCAGCTTGCATAACTTCATCTTGTTGGCCGTTAAATACATTTTTAGTTAGTAGCATCCATAAGTCCACATGCACCATTTATTTGCATTAAAGCTTGCTATTTTGGAGCCTTTTTTTATGAAGACTTTGTTTCTTTTTTTTTTTATTGGGCTGTGACCATAGTTTTATACCACCATGGTCAAGTTGACTGGCACAGCTCTAGTTTTGTACTATCAAATGTTATCACACCTATTTATTTGTTGAATATGTTGGTTTACCCCATCGGAGGTCTACTCCTAGGATCTACATATGAAATAGCTGATCAACAGTGCCTGTCTCTATCACTAATGTATCTGTATGTAGATCTGTCAGCTGTCTTTAAAAGCCCTTTCTCAGTTGTGTAAAGCAGCTCTGTGGGAAAGACCTTTGGTAATCGAGCTGAATAATGCACAAGTGGCTCTTCACAATGGCTCTTATCAGCATGTTTTTATGCTCTGATGATTGTCTGGTTGTTGTGGAAACAGGCACACAGTGATGGCGTCCTGCAGAAGCTGCTGGGTGAAGGGAGCGGGGCGTACGACTATGATCTCATCGTCATCGGCGGTGGTTCTGGCGGTCTGGCGTGTTCAAAGGTGAGTTAAATTACAGCGAGGCGGGAAGATCCTTCATCTGTAATGCTGTTTAAATACTCTGTGTGTGTCGAGTTAAGTCGGGTCAATCGGGACACTTTGTCATTTCAAACTGAGGCTCAAGTTACATGGATTCACCCTGTATTAGAGCTTAGTGTTTATAGTGCTTAGTGTTTATATATATATATTTATTTATTTATTAAAAAACCTATTAAAGGTATAGTTCACCCAAAAATGAAAACTTCTCGCCCTCAAGCTGTTGAAGCCTAAAATAAATTGTTGAATTTAAATAAAATAAAATTTGTAATGTATATTTTATTTTTATTTTTATTTTTTTACACAATAATAACTTTAATTCATCTTTTGAGGGTAATTTCTCAGCCAAATTTAATGTGCAACTAATTTGCGATTAATTAGCTTAATTAAATGCCACATTGTGTAATTTGATTTTAGATTCGAGTTTTAAAAGCTGGACAGCCCATATATATATACACATACTAGGGCTGGGACAACGCGTCGACGTCATCGATTAAGTCGACGCAAAAAATATGTCGAGGCAAAATATGCGCGTCGATTCGTCAGACCCAAAACAAAGATGGCAGCGCCGGAGAGTAGTAGCAACACGAGTGGCTCCTCAGACTTTCAAAGTGCAAGGTGCAAAGTGCACTCGTTCCTCTAAAGTAGAGATGCACCGATTGATTGGCTGGTGACCGGAATTGGCCGATTTTCATGTGATCGGCGACTGGCCGGTCAGTCTGACATATTCCGATTTTATGCCGATCAAATGCACTCGGACGCCGCATGATTAACATCGCGCAACATTAGCATCACACGTGCACACGGAACGCACATGTAGGGAACCTCGTGAATTACGGCCGTTTCACACCGCAAGCATGAGCAGTGCGGGGTTTTTTTTCCGGCGTGCATGTTAATCAATGAGTGCATTCACACCGGGAGCAAGTGAAGCGCGGGTTTCGGCGCAGAGTATTTTTTTTGCAGCACTGCTCTCAATTAAAGTGAACGCACACTTTTGATGGACAAAATAAATATGATTTCACTCAAAAAGTGCCCAAATGCACATGTCTGGTGTGTTTTAACAAGAACTGGAGTAGGCTATGTCAGAAAAGAAAATGAAGACTCAAATATTTATAGAATTTTTTTTTTTATTGAATGCTAGACATCAAGTTGGTATTTTCATCTGAAAGAAGAATTACAAGATGCACTATTTTTTAGTAAGCTTGGCCTATGTGTTTTCAAGGCTTCAAAGTTTTATTGAATGCTACCTCTGACTAAGAATGCATTACTTTGCACTTGTATATTTTTTTATTTGGGAATTTTAAGAGCAATAAACATATATTGCAATGTTAAGGAATTCATGTTTTTTTCATTCAGATATATAAATCAACATGTATAAATTGGTATTAGTCAATTCAGCGCCGCCGCTCCCACCACACGCATCACGCGCTGTGCGTAGGGCACCAAGTGCTGAGGGGGCACCAAAAATAGCCTAATGAAAAACCAATCATCAAACTTCTTGTTATAATCAGATTCAGCGCGTTCTTCCTCTTCATTCCGCAGCGGCGCCGAGCAGAGACAGAGAGCACGTCAGAAACACAGGACAGGGTGTGTGTGTGTGTGTGTGTGTTCTTCTGAGCCTCATTGGTCTGTCACTGCTCGTCAATGTCAGAATATTTGAGATGACCAATCAAATCAAAGTAGGCAGGCTTTATGTTCACAGACGCTGAGCGCGAATTTTAACAGTGCAACTCGACGCTTCAGTGTACGGTCAAGTGCGAGATAAGATGTAAGTAGCTAAACTTAACTTTATTTGACAGGTTTTTTTAGGTCATAAATGTTAAACGAATGACAAAAAATAATTAGGCAAACTAATATAGTTTTGTCTAATTTCGCCATTTTTAACTGAAAATAGGCCTGTAACATGTAGCCTAGTGTAATAGTTTAGGCTACTGTCATTGTGAGGGGACAAGAAACATGAACAAAGCCGTTTTCATCATGTTAGGCGCAGGATTTATAATGAATGTGTACATATTGAGAATAAAATACAAATTGTAACCTTTAGTAAATTAAAAAAAGCCAACTTTAGGAGGGGAAGAGACAGGGCAAGATAAAAACAAAGAGAAAAAGAGTGTGATGCTGATGAGGAGAGAAAAATAATCAGCTGCCCACTGACATGGTTTTAAAGCTGTTGTTATCGAATTATTATTATTATTATTATTTTTTTTGCCTTCACAACATCTTAAAATGCACATCTGTAGTTCAGAAAAATCCAAAATTTCCCCCGAACACCCCTAACTAACCTGCCTCAAATTCGGGATCCCAGTGATTATAAAACCATGCCATTGCATGGTAATGAAACTAGTTAATAGTAAACATTAGACCCTAATCTAAAGTGTTACTTTTTAGCTTTTTAATTTTTTTATAAATCATACCCTCATTGGGGGCTTAGCCCCCCAAAATGAAAATCCTAAATGAAAATGTTTTTTTTTTAGGGGGGGGCGGGGGGGTATCATAAATGAATTATGCTTAGGGCACCAAAATGGCTAGCAGCGGCACTGAGTCAATTAATGGGGAGATAATCGATAACAGAATCGAATCGAAATCGAATCGGACAGAAAAACGAATCGTTAGATTAATCGATGCATCGGAAAAATAATCGCTAGATTAATCGTTTAAAAAATAATCGTTTATCCCAGCCCTAACACATACACATACACACTTGACTTGAAAGAATTAAAATCCAGATCTAGATAAAAATCTACTTGAGGCACAGTTTATTCCCGCTAAATGAGCACAAGGAGAAAATACCTTTTATAATAAACAGCATTGTTTAGATTCAAATAATTTATATATTTATATGCTTATTTAATACATTTACCTATTATGTACATATTTTATACATTTACCAAATAATTGTTTTCTAGGGTTTTCAGTTTTGAATTTGATTTTAAAAGGATTCACAGAATTGGAACAAAACTATCTAATTACAACATTTTTAGGTTGCTTAATTTTATGCTGCCAGTAAAATCATCATAAATACTCAAAATATCAAACCTTGCACTGTAAATGTATTGATGGTGCATGTAAAGGCCTGATATAGAATTGAACCTGGAAATTTTCATGTAGCCAGTCTCTGTTGAAACTCAGAGCAACTCTCTGGGTTTTGCACAGGATTTAGATTTTAACACGTCTCCTTCCTGCCCAAACAGGAAGCAGCTGCCTTGGGCAAGAAGGTCATGGTTCTGGATTATGTTGTTCCCACACCAAAGGGCACTACCTGGGGTAAGAATACCAGAATCAAACATTCTTATGATATGATCGAGATATATATGATGATGAAGATTATGATACGAGGTCTGTCTCCAGGTCTGGGCGGCACGTGTGTGAATGTGGGCTGTATTCCTAAGAAACTGATGCATCAGACGGCACTGCTTGGCACAGCCATAGGAGACGCCCGCAAGTTCGGCTGGGAGTTCAGTGATCAAGGTCAGTCGTAACATTCAACACGGTTGGGAATATAAAGCGGCACATGATACACTGGCTCTGTGATCGGGATGCAAGACAAGAATTACACCACGTCATGTAATGCATTGCACTTAGAAATGATTTTTAAAAAGTGCCTGTTTGATAATGTGCAAAGAGTTCTTCATGCATTAGTGGTTAAAGTTGTGATGCAATTTTGTGTTTTCTTCTGTGAAGACATTTCAGTTGCAAATGTATTTCCTCTTTCTCTGAAAGTCGATTATTAGTAACTTTATGAAACGATTTAAGTGACAGCAACCTTGTGAATATATCTAGAAATGGTTTGAAAGACTTTGAGGGTCCTCAGTTATATCTTTTATTAACCCTTTAGAACCGGCTGTGTCGTCGCCGACACAGATCAGCAAGCTGTATTCATTGTACCGTAACTCTTCAACCGTTCGCACTATCAAAACCATTCAAATTGCCCCTAACAGGAGACAACATGCGCTTTTCGTCAATATACGGCTTATTACGGTAATTTCGTCAGCAAATGACAGCAGCTTTCTGGCAAAGCGGGAAGGAAGGATTTGAACAGAGAGATACGAAGTGCGGCAGGTTAGAGTGTTTTAGATTGCATAAAATAATAAAAGAAACTAACAAATACATGGTGAAAGAAGTGGTAGACAGCAGAAGAGGGGATTGGGATGATATTTAATGAAACTTGGGAGGCGGATGGCCGTTACTCTTTCACGTATCTTTACATGTGGTGTATGCATGTGTATGTGTGTGCGTGCCTATGAATGGACGCATTTGTATGTGTGCGTGTATGAAAAAAAAGTGTCCTAAATGAAAACTGTGCAACCCAATGTCACAAAAAAGACTTGTATAGATGTATTATACTTCATTTTTCAACTTTAAAGTGTTAGTTTCTTTCGTTCGTGATTTTTCTGTTTGTTTTTTTCTAAATAAAAATCAGAATGTATTCTCGTTTTTTTATTTTTGTCTATTTAAATTCTATTTACAAACTCACCACACACAATAATGGTCAATAACTGTCATTTGTTGAAAGCTAATCTTTTTCTGAAAAAGATGACACCTTGCACATGAACATGGCACATTGTTTTAGAATTTTACAGTCAAAAAATCAAAATATGTGAAAAACACCTATTTTAGCTTCAGGTTCTAAAGGGTTAAAAGGAATATTAATGGGTGATTTAACACAAGAAAACTTCCTAAAACACACAGAACAACTGATAATTACAACATTCAATGTGTCGTAAAGTTTTTGCTTTCAAGCATGTCCACTTTTTCTCTTAATGTAGATTTCTTTTCGTGTCTTCTGTTTCACTTTCTCATCAAATATTGTCTTTTTATTAAAGTGACTCACAACTGGGAGACGATGAGGACTGCGGTGAATAACTACATCGGTTCATTGAACTGGGGCTACAGAGTTTCCCTACGAGACAAAAACGTCAATTACGTCAACGCCTACGCTGAGTTTGTGGAGCCGCATAAGATCAAGGTAAGTGTGTTCTGATCCAGCGAGCCAGCTGCACTGAAGCTTCACCATATTCACTACAAAATGCATTATAAATGCATGTAAAATGGATCAAAAGGAGAGCTAACTCCACTACAGGTCCAGATACAATGTGAATGCGAAGAGAACTGGATTAAATTTCCACTTAATTTACTTTTAGAGGACTAAAAAAAAGCATGAGTTTAAGTGTGAAGTGTAATTCATTCCTACTTTTGGCAGCAGAACATGGAGAAAATGTGCCTTTATGACATTGGAGAGCTGTTTCTGTGTGTTTAAGGCTTTTCTTTTAGCTTTATTCAAATGCCAGTACTATGAGAGATGCTAAAAGTTGCATATTACAGTTCAAATCACACTCACAGTACGTCTAAAGCTGCCCTCATCTTATTTTTTTGTTGACTCTTCCCAACAGGCCACCAACAAGCGAGGTAAAGAGACGTTCTACACCGCGGCTAGGTTTATCCTGGCAACAGGAGAGCGGCCTCGTTACCTGGGCGTCCCGGGAGATAAAGAGTATTGCATCACCAGGTGAGACTGAGTTCACAGCGGTAAACCTCCTCTGGAGAGCTGGGTAAACGCAGCTGGACCTCAGGGGGTCGTTAAAGGAGTCCTGCTGACTTATTTACAGCATTTATTGATCTAAAGCTGGTTCATGCTCAGTCACTAAGGGAACAAAGGCTGAATGACGTGTCAAATTTCGCTGGTACTTGTGATTAGTGACAATAAAGGCTACTACTAAATAGGAGGAGGATTTCCTTCAGTAGCTCTGATATGAGTGGCTTAAATGTGGAAAATTATCAAGTTAGTTCATGTAGCTTATTTAAGAATGGCACGACGTCTTACATGAAGGACTCTATGATTTCTGTGACGCGTATTAAAATTGCGGAATAGTCATAGAAAATGGAATTGTGTAATGCAGAATGTCATAGAAGTTGCCAAATTTTGGATGAATAAATCAAAATTAGGACTATGCACTTAATCAAATCGCAATATGGAAAGTGTCTGTAAATATTAAACCGCAAAAAAGACTATTTAAATATGAAGTCTGTGTGAATGAATGGCATGGTATCATCAACTACACATACTCAAGCTTGCATGATGCTCGTGGGGTTTTTAGTTTTGTTTGCCTAAAAGGAATTGTTTAATTTTCATTTGATTTACAATTGAATAGGTTAAAAAATGTTTAATGTTTTATGCCTTCATTTGATTACCAGAGTTTTTGAAAAATGTGTATTAAATTATGAATCCAGAAAAATCAGGACAAAAAAAATAGTGCCCTGTTATTAAATGACATGTATGATTATGATTTCTGTGACTCGTATAAAATCGTGGAATAGTCATAGACAATGGAATTGTGTAACTGGGAATGTCACAGAATTTGCCAAGTTTTGGATGAATAAATCAACTAGGACTGTGCATTTAATCAAATCGTGATATGGAAAGTGTATAAATATAAAACCGTAGAAAAGGCTATTAAAATATGAATTCTGTAAATGCCACAGTTTCATCAAATACTCGCAAGCATGAAGCTCGTATTGTTTTCAGCAGTTTGCCAAAAAAATTCGTTTGAATTACATTTTAAAGGATTACATAAATTGTTGGTTTTATGCCTTCATTTGAGTTTTGATACTTTTTTTTATTATTATTTTTTTATTATAAAATCAGACAAATTAAAACAAAGAATTTTATTTTATAGGGCCCTATTTTACTTTTAATAAATTGCTGTTAAATTCTAAGTTTCAGCATTTTAATTAAGACATCCTTTTTGATTGCTAACATTTTAATTTAACCTTTTAAATTGGAGTCCAGAGAAATGTAAATTTAAAAAAATTATCCAGAAATATTAAAACAGAAAAAATGGAATTGAGTCAGTACGGCATCGAAATGGCACGCCTTTAACCTGAATGTGTGTGTGCTCTTTTATGAATCAGCTGAAGTTTGCTGATGGTTATTCTTCTTTTATCTGATGAGGAAGTGAAGTGCAGGAGTTTGGTAGTAACTTAAGCCTCTGTGGTTTTGAGCATATTGACTTTTCTCTTGGGCAGCGTTTATGATGTTTACCTGTACATCTGAACTTGTGTCTGCATTGGAGGAAAACATGATCCATAAGTCTTGTGCCCTCATCGGTTTTGTTCGTTCTTCACAGTGATGACCTGTTTTCGTTGCCCTACTGTCCCGGGAAGACTCTTGTTATCGGGGCGTCGTATGTCGCTCTGGAGTGTGGGGGTTTTCTGGCCGGGTTGGGACTGGACGTGACCATCATGGTTCGCTCCATTCTGCTTCGAGGATTCGACCAGGACATGGCCAACCGTGCGGGAGATTACATGGAGACGCACGGGGTCAAATTCCTCAGGAAGTTTGTTCCGACCAAGGTTGGTGCATGCGTGCGGTTAAACATTACTGAAATCTATAATGATGCATTATCTATCGTAGCCGTGATTATGTAATAATCATGGCATCTTTACACACATTATCGAGGTGATAAAACATCACGGGGATTTCTTTTCCCACAGATCGAGGAGCTGGAAGCTGGAACTCCGGGCCGACTTAAAGTCACGGCCAAATCAACCGAGAGTAACGAGATCTATGAAGGGGAATACAACACTGTGAGTGTCCTGCCTTTCTATTGGCCAAAACTTCAGATATCATTACAGCCTGTTTTTATCTTGTCTGCCATCTTTGGCTCGGTTTCAAATCCTAGTGTGTGCCGTTTATTATTCAAACATTTTTCAAACATTTTACATTCTCTTCAGGGAAATGAACCCAGTGACTTTGTGAAATGTTAATTGATAATTTCCATTATAAATGTGGTGAACCTATGACACCATTTGCTTAAGTCGTTGGGAAACGGCTGGAAAAAGATTGAAGTTTCAGAGTTTAAAAGCAAGTATTTTTGTTAAACTGGGTTCGTACAGGGTGCTTAAAATGCTTGAAGTACTTCAATTTGACTTTTTAAAATGCAAGTCCTGGAAGACCCTTTAAATCAGCCATATTTATGAAAAGGTACTTGGAAAGTGCTTGAATTATTGAAAGACAATATATTTGAAATTAGTGTTTAATTTTATCGATAAAACAATCTTTCCACACATAATGAATCTGCAGCCTGTATAGAGCCATTTCTCATGACTATGAGTGTGATATTGCTCATAAATATCCAAGTATATGGTACAATTTCATTCTTCAGGTCAATCATATATTCTTGGAAATAATTTAGTTTGAATAAGGAAAGCCATATCTTTGTCATCGTATCCTTTCAATGGTTACAGTTTCCACAGTCATTGCATCTGCTGCACTTTATTAGTACCGTTTTGTTTGATTGGTTTATTTCAGGGCTGTCAAATGATTAATCACGATTAATCATATCCAAAATAAAAGTTTTTTTTACATAATATATGTGGGTGCACTGTGTATAATTATTTTGTATATATATATTAATACACACATGCATGTATATTTAAGAAAAAAATATTATTTATATATAAAATATTTATATATAATATAAATTATATATAAATCTATATACAGTATATACATGGAAATATTTCTTAAATATATACAAGCATGTGTGTGTATTTATATATATAAAGTAATTATACACAGTGCACCCACATATATTATGTAAAAAAAACTTTTATTTTGGATGTGATTAATCACGATTAATCATTTGACAGCCCTAGTTTATTTTTGTTTATCTATTTACCTTTTTTCAGAATTTGAAGGTAATAAAGATATTGTTTGATAAATGAGATCTCTAAAGTCCTTAAACCAAAAAAGTGGTGCTGAAAGTCCTGGAATTTAATTTTACAGTGTGTACGAACCCTGAAGCACTTGCATCAATTATTCAGTATTACCCTATAAGAGCTGTATAGTTGTCTAAGAGTGTGAGGTCTGACTACAGTTCAAGGTAAATGTCATTCCTGTGAGTCGAGTTTGCTCCGTGTGAACAATGCTTTGCCTTAATATTATTTTGTTCATCAAAACGTATCAAGCCAAGGCACTCAAGAGTTAATGTATATAAAAAGCCTTTATTTCATTATGGCTTAGGCAATTAAAAACAGTTTTCAAATAACGCACACCTTTTAAGGTCCTTTAAAGCAGCGATTAGTTAGTCATGTGACAATCACCTTGAGAATCACAATAGAGAATAAATTGTTGGATAAATAGGACATCTCACCAAAACATAATTAAACCCAACATATGTTCTGAAAAAAAGATAATGCACGGAAGTGTAAGAAACCCGAAATCAACAATGTATTCCAATAATAACTTTAACTTTTTTTAGAAAAGAAAAAATAAGTCATGTAAATATAAGTGCAACATCACATAAGATATCAATGAAATATACAAATCTGAATTTGTATGTGATATTGCTCATAAATACTGAATGAGCACTGTGCCACTGTTCGTCCGACTGTTTTTACTGTACTTTATTTTCTTTTTAATTCTAAACTGTTTTAATTATTGTTATTTCTTTTGATTTTTTTTATTTCTTCTATGTAAAGCACTTTGAATTACCATTGTGTATGAAATGTGCTATATAATTAAACTTGCCTTGCCCCTTGCCTTGAATCAACAATATTCTCAGTTCCAAACCTTGGATCAAAAAAATAAATAAATATCAATACAAGTACAACATCACATAAGATATCAATGAAATTGTTGTTTTGTAACCAAAGGCACTTGTCAGCAGTTGTCAGCATTGTCACATTCCTTACATGTTGCTAATGTTGGTCTGTGTGTGTGTGTGTGTGTGTGTGTGTGTGTCAGGTGTTGATCGCAGTGGGTCGTGACGCCTGTACAGGAAAGATCGGTCTGGACAAAGCTGGAGTTAAAGTCAATGCCAAGTATGTCTCTTTCTTTTGAATAGATTATTTTGGTCATCTGGCCTCATAGCTCCTCCCCCACAACCCATAACACAGTCCTTGTTGTCACGGCAGCATTTAAAGGGGCGGGGTCAGAGTGAGTAGGAGAGGCGGGGTCAGGAGTGTCATGGTGAATCAGCAGTATTTCCTCTGGGAGTGTGTCCAGCGTCTGACCTCGGTGACACGGAGTGTGTTTACAGAACACACCACACACTGGGATGTAGACGGGCGGGATGAGTTAAGCAGAGTGTTTCCATTGAACAGCATGGGAGAATGCATATTAATTCACACACAGACTGAAGTGTGTATGTGTGTGTGGTTTGAGGGATTAGTGCAGCAGGTTTTAGATCCGTTCTCAAGCACAGTCATGTGATTCCATATGACCCACACACACATGACTGATGCACTGCTGTTTTATGGTTCATAGTTTTTCAGTTTTGTAATGTGCATTTTGTGTTACATAACATAAACTGTATGGGATTTTAAAAGTCATTGTGCGTTTGTTACAGTAAATCTCAGTTCTGACTTTTCCTAAATTGCAGAAGGGAACTAATGATGATGTAATGTGGCTGATATATTATTACGAAGCAATTTTCATTTCATTTCTGTCTGGAGAGCAAATATCTCAAGATGTTTTATATATCCGTTAAACAAACAGATTTTTTTAGTTATTGATTTTTTTAGGACATTTAATAAAAATATCGATACAAGGATCTAATGTTTAGATGGTTTGAGGATAAATAATTGAAGTTTCTCTGCAGTTCTGCTACTCATGATGATGACAAACATTTCCACAAAGGTGAAAGTAAACTGATTCAGATCAAGCATCAGAACCAAGTGTGAAATATACTTTTATTGTGACTCCTTCATATGCCGTTCATGCACATACAGTCCCAATTACAGTGGCTTTTGGTCCTCAAGACTGAGTCAATATGAACATGAGTCATTGTCTGTTCCTCCATCCAGGACTGGGAAGGTTCCCGTGAACGATGAGGAGCAGACTAATATTCCTCACATCTATGCGATTGGAGATATCCTGGAGGGAAAGTGGGAGCTCACGCCTGTGGCCATTCAGGCCGGGAAACTTCTGGCTCGACGACTGTACGCTGGATCATCTTTAAAGGTCTGGCATAGTCATAACCATCGGCGCCGTCTCCTGGAGATTCTCCAGGGAGATTAAAGTCTCATGCCTGGTTCAGATTACACGATTTTAGCCGATTTTGGCACGATCTGTTTGACGTAGGGTGTCGTGGGGATTCGGGCGTCAGGACGCCATATTCAAACGCGCATACCTAAAGAATGAACTCTTAATACACATGTGCACGCCATCAGCTTTCTCACCGGTTCGTGTTTTTAAAGTTTGCGTAGAGAGAACTTAAGGGTTTTCTGTTAGAACGGTGTCGTGTTAGCGGGCCCTAAGTTAATATCTAATGATTGTTGCGATGGAAGTGAATCAATTAAAACAAACTTTAGCTGGAAAATAACTTTATTCTAGAGCTGTCATAAAGCCAAAACAATCTCTGTTACTTTAATTTCCTATTATCACTGTAAAGCAGCTTTGGAACAATCTACATTGTTAAAAGCGCTATATAAATGAAGAAGACTTGACGCAAGATTGGATCGTTTCATTTTGTATAGTGTCATAGTGGGCGACAACCGAAGTCGCGTCTGCGATGCTTCACGACATCACAATAAAAATACTAGCATGTTTAATTTTTTTTTTCCCGGTCCTCCACTACGGTTTCCGTCATGAGTGTGTGTGCGAGGGTGGCGGGCGGGTACGCGATGACTGGTCAGAAAGCAACGTGTAGTCTGATATGTTTCTTGTCCATGACACGACAAGATTTTAGGAGTCAAAATCGCGTAATCTGACACAGTGACTATTGTAACAGGCTAAAAAATTGTGTAATCTGAACCAGGCATTATATAGAGTAGTGCTGGGCGGTATGACAAAAATCCATATGGTATTTTTCAAAACTATACAGGTTTCACGGTATATGACGATATTTTTTTATTTAAGCAAGACTGGGTGTTAACCACATTTCCTACTGATTAAGAGAGAAAATACTGCAGTATATTGACTTAGAATGCCCTATTTTACTGCCATGAGTGAATATTATAGAAAGAAAATCCACACTAGTATTTATACAGGTTTGCAGTGTTTACAAAGAGTTGCCAGCAGGAGGTGCTGTAGGAGCGGCAGAAACGGCGGTTTCCCCGGTAACGGCTGAACACAAACCTGTGCTTTAAACGCTGCTTTATCAGGAAAGATAAAGATTCAATTGAAATAACATCGAAACTTTTCTAAAGACCGTCAGTTCACTTCAGATACATTCATATAAAAACTCCCGCGCCGCGTTTGGACTGTGAAAAGCAAACGACGTCAAAGCCAACCACAAATAGATTTTCCAAAAGGCTGTGTTGATTATTGTTTATTATAATTATTTATTATAATTTTACAGCTATCAATTATAGTTTAACCTATCTATCTTCACCGTCACGCTTAGTAACACACACACATCTGTGCATCACCAGTGCAACAGTGAACCTCTCAAATAGTCGTGCCGCGTTCCCAACGTTAAAGCGTCATACACCGGTATTGCAGTATATTAATTTCATAACAAAAATAAACACCGGTATTCGGTATGATGAACTTGTATACCGCCCAGCTATAATAAAGAGCGGAATTTATTATTATTATTTTTTTTATGATTATAACCGTTTTTTCTCGTGTGTGTGTGTGTGTGTAACAGTGCGATTATGTGAACGTTCCCACCACTGTTTTCACTCCTATGGAATACGGCAGCTGTGGTCACGCGGAGGAGAAGGCCGTGGAGATCTACGGACAGGAGAACCTCGAGGTGTGTGTGTGTGTGTGTGTGTGTGTGTGTGTGTGTGTGTGTGTGCGTGCGCTCAGACGGGGAACATGAATAGTCTGTTCTGGTAATTGTTGTAATGATGCGTGTCTGTGCAGGTTTATCACAGTTTGTTCTGGCCTCTGGAGTTCACCGTTGCCAGCCGAGACAACAACAAGTGTTACGCCAAGATCATCTGCAATAAACTTGACAATGTAAGACACGCGTAACAGCCAGCGTCCTCTAGCAATGTTGACTTCTCTTCTTTTATCAAACTATGATTTTAAGTCAAGATCAGACATTAGATAATACAATTCTACACTTTACAATAAGGTTTAATTTACCTTTGTTAACAAACAACACTGGTAGAAGCACTTCATTGTAAGTTTTTGTTTCCTAAAACTGTTAAAAATAAATAAAAAAATTTAATTGAAAAAAAGCTGAAATAAAATATAAAGATTAGATCAAAAACTTAAACAAATGTTGCCTTGGAAGCTAATTGAAATTAGGTAAAGTTGAAGTACTTAAATTAATAAAATAAGCTTAAAATGACAATTCAAAATATAAAAGCTAATTGAAAAATGAATGTTGTTATTATTAAAATATATATATTAAATGAAGCTGGAAGCTTGTTTCTGCCACGAAATAAAAAAGGTTGTGACTTATCTTAATGAGACTTTCTTTTATTTTATTTTTTTCTCAATTCTGGGTTGGAAAGTACAAATTGTGAGCCTTTTTTCCTTGCTATTGTGAGTTTCTGAGTTGCTAGATGAAAGTCGCAATTACCTTCTTTTTTTTTTCTTTTTGGTGGTGGAAACAAGCTAATAATAAAGTAACTGGCTTCTATAGAATTTCTTCATCTTAATTTCAATATTTTACCAATACATTTTAAAATCAAGTTGCACAATGGGAACAGACAATGAGCAATTGCATTACAACAGCAGATTTGTGCGTTCTGTTTGAATCGAGCATATAAAAAGTGCTGCTCAATTTTGTAACAAGCAGTGACCAATTTCTATTAAGGAATGTTTTTTGATAGAATGCAATCAAATGCTTTTCATTCAGTGGTGTTAGAGACGTGATCCTGTAACCCCTGTGTTGTGTGTGTGCAGGACCGTGTGATTGGCTTTCACTATCTGGGTCCTAATGCTGGAGAGGTCACACAGGGCTTCGGAGCCGCTATGAAGTGTGGGATTACCAAAGACCAGCTGGACCACACCATCGGGATTCACCCCACCTGTGCCGAGGTGCGTTTCCTTTGACTCCACTACTTAAAGTGGATCTATTACGACACTTTTACAAAGTCTCTACTAGAACAGGTTTTCATGCTCGAATGTTAAACACATTTTCCTCATATTTCTTCATTGTTGCGGCTCCTCTCTTCCCAGTCTGTCAGTAACGCTCTGTTTAGTTCCTGTCTCTATGAAGCCCCTCCTCCTGAAAAGCACACTGTGCTCTGATTGGTCGGCTGGATCAGTGTGTTGTGATTGGTCGAGCGCTTCGAGTGTGTTTGGGAAATGTCCCGCTCTTACCATAACCACCAGTTTAACACACTACTGACTAACTCAACCAGACCCCGCCCCTTTATTCTGCGTATGAATTATTTAAATGAGGAATATTGTGACGTATTCGTTCCCGGAAGAAACTCAAGACTACAATGGAGGCGTTTCAGGAGTTCAGAAACACTGACACTGATATAGAGAAGAGCTCCGCAACATTACACACTAAAGAAAGATGACCATGTAAAAAAGCATAATAGGCTTATTACTCATTTGATGTTCTTATTTTTTAAGCACATGATCATAACATGTCCTTCCCTTTATTTGTTTCAGATATTCACCACGATGGAGGTCACCAAAAGCTCTGGCGGTGACATCACTCAGTCGGGCTGCTGAGGTTAAACCCTGCTGGTTTAACAGGCTGTCAGTACCAGTTCAAACTGGTGATGTATTCCTCTTAGCTTAAACACACTCTCTAGAGGTACAACATCATGATGTTTCACTGCTTACAGAAGGCTTTTGTGTCTGTCGTTCCCTTTCACCCTTTACAAACCATGTGATCGTTTGCACATGTGCTGGAAGGGGCGGAGCCATTAGACACGACGGCCTTTAGAGGCGGGGCTTCACTTGCTGAAGAGACCAATGATTGGGAGAGGAATGTTGATTGACAGCCTGTTAGACAGCGGGGTTACTCTGCTCAAAATCACCGTCCGAGTCAGAAATGCACCAAATGCGCTTGTGATTTCTTTTCTTTCATACACACACGCGTGCGTACGTGGTGCTCCGTGATGTTTTAACCCCTAACCCACGCTCAGTGGCGGGTTACGACTGATGTTTTCTGCACTTGGACTTTAAATGGGTGAATCCATGTTAACACGCGCTCTCTGGACTCACGAGGGCGGCGCACTTTCCTTTCTTTTGGTTGTAGAAGATTAATTTTCTATATTTAATAGTGGGTTTGTCATCAGTTGCTCGTCAGGATTATAGTTAGCGGGATTTCACTTCCCGCTCTCATCATCATTATTATTATTATTATTATTATTCTCTGATTTAGTGGTCGAGTAACAGAGACGTGATCGAAGCGCAAACCAAATGCAGCATGTAGATGCTTCCTCGTGAAAGTATTTAAAATAACTCATTTATAGTTTGATGCCTGTTAAAGCACTTAGAAATATCAATAAAATGTGTATGTTCATATTTTTATAAATGTGTATATATATCTTTACATCACTGGATTACATGTATCTGTTTGGAGGATTCATTCACAAATAAATGCATGTCTGTTAGTTTGACGTTTGCTGTTTATTTGCTTTCTGGATTATTTGACGTTATTCTCTCCCTTCTGCTCTCTAAGGGTTAAAGTTCATGATCTGTCACTCAGCACCTGTTAAATGTACAATATTTCCATAGTATCTCTGTTTAATTCTGTTCATGGACTTTAATAACACTGCACAATCTAAATTTCTCACAGGTGTGTTTAATTTATCTAACACATGCATTAATCTAAGTGCTAGAACTAACATTCAAAAAGCTGCTATTTTTCAGTGTTATGAATAAAGTTTAGTCACTATAATTATACATTTATAACTACTACCTTAACGTGTTCTGCTTGAAAGGGAGCGCAATTAAATACATAATTTATATTATTTTCTAAATGTATGTGCCCATTAAATATCTATTGATCAGAATATATAGTCGATTTGTGTATTTCATGTTAGTTAGTTATTGCATTAGCTCTTTGCTTGTGTATATATTGTTTCATCTACAATGGTTTGTTTCCAGGGATTTCATTAATGGATAATATCTAAAAGCAGCTTTGAGAGGATTTGATCAAATTAAAAGCTTCTTTTATCATAACATTTAATGTAAGTCAGCAAAAGGAGGAATTGTTTTTCATTTAAGAAAACAGCCATTGTCTTGATCTCCTGATGCATTTCTTCTTGTTCATAAGTTTCTTTAGAGTCCAAGAACTTTATTTGTCTCAGACTGCAGCTTTTATGGTTTTATGATTTTTTTTTTTTTTAGATGATTTGATTGATGCTGAAACCTGCATCTGGATTGAATGAAAGCCACTGATTGGCTGGAAACTCTTTATAAACAGGAAAAGCTCCATTTCCCTCAACAGGAATCAGCCGTTACGTACAGAATCTGTTCAGGCCACTTACACTACAAACACAACGCTCACTTTCTAGTGTTCGCATGATTCATTCGGTATTAAAGTGAGTTTAGACAGCTTGTCCTTTTGCTGACAGTCCATGAATATTCACACGCATGCATTGAAAAACTCATTTAGACCGACACACACACACCTGTTCCTGTGAAGTGCGGGTGTATTCATCCGAGACAAAAAACACCAGAGACTGAAAAACTGAGGATAAAACGCCTAATTTTCATGCGTTTCATTCAGTGAGTGAATAATCACAGACCGATGGATCAAACACACCTGAGTGTGTGTGTGTGAATCTAAGGAGAGAGTTGGTGCCTCATTCTCTTTGGTTTTATATAATGGTGCTCTAGCTCATTAAATCCAGCGTGCTGGGGCCTGATATTGCAACGTGGGATGTTTCATTCAGAACCGATGGAGACCAAACACTGAGAAGCTAACCAGAAACAGGTGAGGGTAATCAATCACTGTGGCAACAAACAAGGGTTACTATAGAAACAGGCGATGGGAACAGAAAATACACTTCAAAATAAAAATCCAAATAGCACAAACTAAACACAAAACTTTTTTTTAATTGTTTTTTATTTAATATGAATATAGCAATAACATTGGACGAACCAGATGCATTGTTTAAAGTGTTATAGCACATGTGCTAATTTTCAACACCTGTCCATAGGGGCTTTTACAACAAATAAAAACTCATTGATAAACAAGACAAGGCACATGTAACAGATATATTACATAATTTTCTTTAAAAATGCATTAATATTTTTCAGGTTTTTATTGTCCTGAAGAACCTTCTACAAATATGATGATAAATCAGTACGTTTCAAATACGGTAAATAAATAAATTAGCTATTAATGAATAAAACGTTATTCAAATAAAATATTTTTATTATATTAGGTAAGTAAGTAGTGAGTATACTGTGTGTGTGTGTGTGTGTGTGTGTGTGTGTGTGTGTGTGTGTGTGTGTGTGTGTGTGTGTGTGTGTGTGAGAATGTATGAATATACATATATAATATGTATACATGTATGTGAATATATATGTGTGAATCCAGGACACAGTAAAGGATCTGTAACGCATTTGATCTGGATGTGTTTCTCCAGCATGAGAACAAACTTGGTTTAGTCACAGGACAAAGTTAGAATATGGTTTAAAAAAAAAAGAGAATTGTGTAAATTATGAATGCAAAATAGAAGCTTCTAGATAAGTGGTTTCAGACTTTTATTCGTCACTGTTTGTACTGTAGTTGTGCAATGAAAGTGATTAAACACTGAGTAATTCCTGAGATTGTGATTCCATTGTAAACATGTTCCCTGAAAAACTGTGATCAATATACATACACACACGGTCACAGTGAGTTGGCACTTTAATTCCTTCATTTAAATAGTTATAAACATAGTAAGATTTGCCAAGCTTTTTTTTTTTTTTTTTTTTTTACTTTTAACTAGCTGTTTGTAACTATGGTAGTACTTTTGGAGGCTAATAGCCATTTCGAATATTTAACTTTTTATTAATTGTCTATTAAAAATAAATATATTTCTCAAATTCGAACAAGTGATAAAGGGGTTGCTTTTTTTGTAATCATTCTTTATTCTGTACAATTATTGTACGGATAGCCTACTGTACATTGTGTTTATACCAGGAGATGGATTACACATTAACTCATCGGAACATTTCTTAAACATTTAGCATAAGGAAAGAAAAAAAACTTCCTCCTGAGCAAACCCAGGCGCTCAATGTCATTAACTAAGATAAAGGTGATGCACTAGAGCCCCCTGCTGGTCAACAGCGATATTACACATAGTTACATATATATATATTTGTTTAACTATAATTTATTTAATTAAATTATTACACAAGCTACATTACAGAAAATGTCTATGTGTTTTACAAGGACTTCAATTAAATGCCATTTTTTTTATTGATGACTGATGAGCCGTTTATTAATTGCAGTCAGCAGTGCGCCGCCTTTCGGTCTGTACATGTATCGCACATGATAAACCCTCATCAGCCTTTCCTCTGGATTTGTTCTTCAGTTAAACTGACTTCCGGTTAATGTCCCTTCTAGCGAATCAGTTCTACTGTTCAGAGTCACATGACCTGTGACGTGTGTGCACCGCGGAAGAGAGGTCCAGCGGTGAGATGGAGGAGAAATTCACATGAGTTATTAATCATCAAAGTTTAATAAAATAATCAGATGATCAGATGTAATCAATGTCAGGATGCCGCTGTTGACTCAGAATAAGCGAATAGAGCGCGTGAACTCAACCGCAGAACTCTTCAGCAAAAACCCGCATCTGAAGGTACAAACACAGTAATCTGATAGCCAATTTAATATTTGAAGTAATATAATATGGCAGTATGTATGCAGAGACTATGATACATAGACCCTCTTTCACTTTATATTTAAAAACTTACTCGGGTATACAGATACAAAGGTAGAAATCCTGAAAAGTATAATAATAAAACCTCAATACAACCTCAAATATACTTTATAATGTGTGTGTGTTAGATTTTACAGCCCTATTATATATACTGTATATACATATTTATATATAATGCTCTTTTTTCATGCAACCTATTAATTAGCTCATATACAGACTACGTGTAATGTTGGTTAAATTTATGAATTTATTTTCCACTCTGCAGGACTATTGAAGTGTCTTGCAAAAATGCATAATAATAAATAAAAAGAAAAAAGTTCAAACTTGAATTCCTACATGCATCTTGATGTTAAAAACATTACTTTTGTCACCATTCACACACTCTGCATATAGAGTTGACAGTAGAGTGTTTTGTCACATTAATGTGTGTTTCTCTCTTAGGAAAGTGCGCAGCAGTTTGTGTGCAGAAGCCCGGAGCCTGTGGACCCTGAGCAGCTCCTGTACGTCCAGCAGAGAGAGTTTGCGTCCACGACTCCAGCGGACAGTGAGTGTGTGTGTGTGTGTGTGATGAGCAGATGACGTCTGTCAATCAAACAGACACTGATGTTTCTCTTTCCTCAGATTCGGTCTCCATCCTGGGCTCTGATGATGCCACAACATGCCATTTAGTCGTGCTCCGACACACAGGTGACACGAAACCTTCTTCAAATCAATATCTGATGCCATTTCACTGCATGTACGGGTGTGTGATCCTGTGTTTCTTCTGTTCTGAAGGCAGCGGAGCGACTTGCCTTGCACACTGTGATGGTTCCAGCACATGGACTGAAGTTCCTCTTATAGTCAATGCCGTCACTTCTAAAAGCAACCCGGATAAAGACGGCAGGTGCTGTAGATCTTCATGCATCACTCTGCTCTAATGGGGTTTTCAAATATATAATGACTTTAGGAGTGTGTGTGTGTGTGTTTTCAGACTGGAGCTGCATCTTGTGGGGGGTTTCGATGACGACAAGAAGACCTCTCACTCGCTCAGCCTTAGTATTCTAGGTACGTTGTGTACAAATGTGTGATGAAGACGAAACGCTCACTGTGAGATCAGAATATGAGAGTGTTTTGTTTTACAGCTGCCTTTCAGAAGCAGAAGGAAGACATTCACCTGGAGACGTGCTGCATCACAGGTCAGAGGAGCGCCCGTGCTCTTCACTGTCTGACTAATTCTCTTGTTTCTCTAAGCTCACCTTAAAGCAACACTAAGTACGATTTTTTACCTTAAAATAATGTTTCCAAAATCGTTTCAGTGGTTCATTAAGTCGTAACAGGGTGAAAGGCACTTCTGGATTTGCTTTGCAGTCCTATATCTGCTATAACCACGCTGTGTAAGATTGCCAGATCGGCCGCGTTTCTGTAGTTCTAATGAGACATAAGAAAACTACAAATTTGACTTGCTTTACGTCAAGCGTTACAATAGTCATTATTTTGTTTTTCTTCGTTTCTGATGTCGCAATACATCATACTTTCATGAAATCATGCAACATACTCTACCTTTTCTGTGGACATCGTTCATTCCAAAGCCGGTGCTGGATAAACAACGAGCGTGCGTGCGACAGTAGGCTGCGCTAGGCTAAATTATTTACGACAGCGGTAATGGACAATTCCGCTTCCAACCTGTAGGGCGACCGCAGAGGAAAAGTTACTTGGTGTTGCATTAAAGGGGCTGTATGTAGAGTTCAGAAACTGTGTTATAGTGACACCGGTGGCCGTTATAGTGAACTGCAGCCCTTACTGTTCGTGCACACGTGACGTATATGAGACTGAACGGGAGTCAAGACCCTGATATTCTCACGATGAAGCTCTTATTCTCTGCTTAGAAGTAAAAAGAAGTTGGAAATACATTAGCTGTGATAAACTGTTAAGGAACATCCCGACGCCGTCCACTGCTAGAGCGACGGTTAGATGAATATGGAAATATGTGATGCGCTTTCCTCTCAATAACAATAATAAACACACAACAAAAATGCCAGCGGTGAGAAACAGCGATTCGTTCATCGTCTGATCATAGAGATGTGGATGTTCTCAGCAGATCTGAGATTTGACGACAGATGAGCTCATTAATATCACACTCATTATTATGATAGTTTGATTATAAAGTATATTTGAGAATATAGACTAAATATCTGGCTACGAGAGACTATAGTTTTAATTAATCCCTTTTCCTTGCATGACACATTGACATTACAGTACAGAATGGCTCTATCGGCATTATCCTGAACACTGTAAATATTAATTTCATCAACCGTCACATGCTTTTGATTTTCCCGGCAAAAACGTTTTGAATCCTTCATATAAAAATCAGTCTACAGGCTTTCATAGACAAACTAAGAACTCGAGGAATGTCTCGTTTTTAAAGTTTCGTTACAAGCTGTTCACACATTAGCAATAAAAAAAGTGATTAATGCATGAAAATTCTTACATATAGCCCCTTTAAATTGACAGTTCACTCTTAAAATGTAAACCTGTATGTTATTCTTTCTGTTGACCACAAAAAAAAATCATACGATGAAACTTCAGCAAACCACATCCAAAAAAAAACACTGGAAAAGTAGTCATTACAATTAATTTGTTATATTCCAAATCGGGAGGTTAAATTATGCTGAGAGGAACATACTCAATAGTCATTATTCATGGTAAATTGTCCCTTCGTTGAATAGCGGCTTAAACGTACATTTGCACATTGTGTTTTATGCAGTTGTTTGAGTCTGTTCTTCAGCTGATGTATGACTTCAGGAAACTCTGAGTAATAACATAATTGTGTTTGTACAGACATGAACGACGTGATCCGAGACGGGGTTCATCGGCCAGTGGTGTATGGGATAGGTAATATCAGCTTCTCCTCATGATGTCTCTGTTATCTGAAGTGTGCGTTTACATTATGAATTAAATGTGTTGAAAGAGAAATACAGAATGATGCACAAGATAATATAAACTACACTAATAAAGGCACATTTTTCAATGTCCTCACCAGTTTCACTCAATAATAAACATAAAGTGTGACCAGTGCGGTCAAATTATGATAAATATTGTGATTGCAATTTATTTTATTTTTTAAGGCTCCAGGTTTGTGCTAGTTTATCCAAAATTTGTGTGATGACATTATTTGGGCAATAAAATAATAATAATTGATTAATAATAGATGATTATTATTTATTTTAAAAACATAAATGTATTATTATTTATTTAAATGAGTATATTAAGAAAAATAATATAATAATAATAACATTATATCACAGAAACTGTATAATTTCTTCATTTTCAAATGTTAAACCATCAAGCTTTTATGTTATTTAAATCACTTTTGTTGTGTAAACCACCAGTTTATAAGTGTTTCTCGTTGTAATCCACATCAGAGTTATTGCATTAATCCTGCAGCTGTTCATGTGTGTGTTTCTGTGTGATCGCAGGTGTGAACGTTAAAACCGGTCACATGTTTCCAGCCTCGTTTGCGTGTCGAGGGCCGGCGGAGGAGCTCAGGTCCGCTCGCAGCTTCTCTGGAGGACCGGTACACAGATCACACAACTAATCTCTTTCATATGTAGCGCTCATTACAAATATCTGACTGCGTGATGATACTATTGACCAATCAGATCTGAGTAGCCGAACTGATGGACTCTCAGATTGAACTGGATAATATTCTGAATCCAATCTGACCCGTAATGATGCCTGAATCATAATCATACACTGTTGGTTCGTTGGCCTGAGGAGAACTGAGCGAGTTTCTCTCAACCCAGCAAGCAATAGCCGTCATTTCACCGTCTAGGTTAACCGTAGACCCGATGTAGTCCGGCTATGAGTAACACACTTCTAGCCAAAATAACCCTGAATTTGGATACATGTCGTTTTTTCCCAAAATAACTTACGAAATGTAAGATATTTCATCATGTTAGCAAAGTAAACAGTGATTACAAGGTGTTCGGTTTCATTTCTTCACTCATTTCATTTCCTTGTTATCTAATCATCTATTATATTTTCACTCACTGCCCACAATTTGCCTTGTTTTAGCCTAGACGTCTGCGCTGAGTTTGGACGGCTATTAGACGTCTTTTAAAAGCAAAATTGCCTGCTGGGAAGGTTTTTCTCTCTATTCTGTCACTGATGGAGGTTTGGTTCATTGTCACTGTCGCCTTTGGCTTTTGTCTTGCTTATTTGGGGACATTTAATTTAATATTCAACAATATTATTAATCTGCCTGGATTGACACCGTTATATGAGAACTGAACTGAGCTGGACGATGACATCACGGTTTTCTCCAGAGCGGCTGTATATATATATGAACTAAATTAATAACTTTTTTACAACAAAGATGCACCATCACTGAACTTACTTAAGCTGGACTGTGATGCTATTTTCTTCTAGAAACAAATTTTGTTGCATTATTTTCCTGTCATCACAGTAAAGCTGCTTTGAAACACTCTATTGTAAAAAGTATAAATGAAGGAGACTTGACTGCAACTGTTCTTGACAGATGGTTGATGTGTATGACTCCAGCCGAGAGCTCGTGAGGATCGGCCCGTGCCGATGGACGCCGAACGAAGACATGGGCTTCTGGCTTTCTCAAGATGATGAAACTATCCTCCAGGTCTGAACGCCCTTCAGAGTTTACATGCGTGCTTCTGTTGAGTATCATATTTTAATATATCGCTCATTTTTTTCTGGTATAGTTTTATTCAGAGACTCAAACTGAGCAAAAATGTGCAATTTGGTGCAGATGCTGATATTTATATGGACAAAAAATAAGATGAAATTCTGATGCTTGCAATATAAATCAATGAGATCGTTATAGCAGAGACTGTCATAAAATCATATAAATATTAATATCTGCCTAAAATGTCTTAAGATGATTTTTAAATGCTTAGATTTATGATCAAAGCTCTGTATTTTTAAAACATTTAATGGAATGCAATAGAATGATGATTGAGAGATGAACAAATAAACCTTCCTCAAAAGCCTGATGATCATATTAGATGCTCATGAAAATCGTGTAAATCATGTAAACCTCAGTCGCTTCAGTCCAGTAAGTGTTCATCTTAAAATATCACTAACAATATTAAAGTTATTCTTGCTTTTACTGCATATTTGACATCAGAAAGACACGAGAAGCTTGAGCTGAAAGAGGACGTTTGTACAATTATACTAAAAGACTCTTACTGTATTAAAAAGTCTAAACTGTCAATCAGACGAAAGGAGGAGTGTAGGAGATTGTGTGTGAGAAGTTTATCGGATCATTTAGAAATGTTTAATGTTGCTTGATGTGTGTTCAGTCATTAATGAGATCTGCAGGATGAAAAGCGAAGCTCATTAATGTCCGTTTGTCCTTCAGTTTTTGTCCACGTCTCCATGTGCAGAACCTCCTCACTTCATCCAGCACATCAAATCCACCATCCGGTTCCTCCTGGATCATCCCAGCGCAGACGAGCTGTTCCCCGGCGGACAGGCTCAGCTCTACCGGCGCTCGGAGGAGGGGGGGTGGGCGAGAGTCTGACCTCTGACCTCTGAGGATGGGGTGAGAGTCTGACCTATGTGACCCACTGACACCCAGCCAAAGGCCTTTGAGCGTTACAGTAGAAGCTCCTTTACACTGATCTGAAAGCTGCTGTGAAGGCCGTTTCTATGCAGAGTGAAATATCTGAAGATGGTTTACTAATGCGTGTTTTTCAAAGACGGCCCTTACATCGAGACAAGAGCCTGTTAACTCTTTTATTTCTATTTTATTTCATGTGTGTGTACATGCATCATAAGACGTGTGCTTTATTTTAAACTGATATGATCTCATGTTGTTTTCTTCCTAATATCCAGCTTGGTCTCATTTGCTCTTTATGAATTCATTTTGGAAACTGTAAATACAGTGTGTGTTTGTGTCCTTTGAGGAGAAATAAGAGAATTAAAATTCTGTTACCAGAGGAAACATTTTGTTTTGTATATCGAGTCCTTTATGTAATAACAATGGAAATGTTAAGTATATTCATCTTTAGGAAGAAAAAGAGAATGAAATGAGGGAATCTGTTTATTGACAGATATTAGATGAAAGGTTTGTCCAATATGAAATACTAAAGTACAACATATCTGTATTCAAAATGCATGATAGGCTATTTAACTTTAAACAATGAAACAAAAAAATGTAAAATATTTGAAAATAATCAACTCAATGTTTTAGGCAACAGAAATTATAATTCATATATGGTGCTACATGTAAAAATAACATTTATAATAGTAACACTTTAGTTTAGGGTAGAGAAGTGTCCTACAAAATACTAATATTTTATTACGAAAATTAACCATATACATAGAAAATTGTCTATGCACCTTAATGGCCAACTGTTAATAATTAATTTACATGGATAAAGTATTGCTCAAAGTTCATAAATGAACATATTTTACACGGAAGTAAAGGTATAGACTACAGAAGAACGACCAAGACGAGGTATGCGGATGAAATATGATATTTTGCTTATTGTTTGATATGTTTTCTGTGCTTGCATGTTTGAAAAACTTTCTAAAGTGTATTCGGTTGTTGCATAAGCTTTTGTTCAGCATAGGTTCACTTTTGCATCTTTCCTACACATTTTTTTTTTCATATAATGATAATGGGGGGAAATCTTTAAATAAATTAGTGTTAATATGTGTTATGAACTTAGTGTTACATCTGTGATACTTAACGTTTTAAAACATGGTAAAATGGCTGTGTATTAAGTTCAGTTTTCTTGTTATCAGTTTCATGAAGAGCAAAAACACCTTCACACACTGAGATCATGGGCGCTACACCTTCTAAAGGTCGGTCAATTTATTTCAACAATAAAATAATTTGATTAGACACCTACTGTATTTATTAGAAGAGAGTCATGGTGATTTCTTTCCACAAGATAATGAACCGATTGAGAAAAAGGAAAAACCATTTTGTGAAAGTGAGGTCAGGTGAAGTTTGCAGAACAATATTCATAACTGTGAGTATTTTTCCACTAAACCTATTCAGCTGCTCTCTCAATCACTAAAGCACTGATTATTAGTGTTATTTTCTTTTACAGTGAGAAATGACAAAGAAGATTCAGAAGAGAAGACGCAGAGAGTTTACATTGAACTCCACAGATTTGTGCTGATGGTTGTAGTTGCGGCTCTTATCGGCTCAGTTGTTGGAGCTCAAGCTGGAGTTTCGGGATCTTGCAAGGGAATAATCTCCGGAGTTCTTGTAGGGATGATACTTTCAAAATTGATGTCAATAATTCATGGCAACATATGATTTTACATTACTTTTACTCATAAAATAAGCAATTTCAAGGTCTTACAGGCACACTGTTAACAAATATTTTCATGATTTGTTATCACAACTTTTTTCTTTCATCAACCCAACTTAGATAATTAAATAAATATAAAATATTTAAAAGATAAATATTTGGAATCTCCTTCATTGTATTAACAAATTTTTAATTGACTCAAAATTATGAGCCAACCAGGTAATTTACTTTTTTAAGTTAACCAACAATATTGTCTTACTAGCCAAGTTGATTGTAGGCCTACTTAAACATTTAAGGCAGCAACTAAACTTACGTTTATTTTTTACATTGTACATTTACATTCAAATGTATTCACGCTTTTATCCAACCTAAAGCAGAACATTTACACCATAAGCTACAAAGTTGATCAGAAGCCTACAGGCTGGTGCAGACATTAGCGCAAACAGTCCAGAATAGTATTTTGTAATGTTATTAAGTAACGTTATACATGCGTAATGGGGACAGACACAGTTTGTCTTGACGGCCATTAGACGTCTTTTAAACGCAATATTACTGGCTGGGAAAGTTGTAATGATCGGGGATAGCGGCTGCGGCACAGTCAGCAATGAAACGCCAGAAACAACAACAGGTGAATAATGTCATCATGGATGAAAAGAGAGAAAGGAGATGTGAGTTGGTTGATTCAGTAAATTTGCTTAGGTCAGGATAGTCATATTTTCTGTCTACACCTGTTGATGTTAGCTTGACTGAGCTAACGTTAGCATACACTGCTGCTAGGTAACTTCAGACTGTTAGCTAAATATTTAATATAGAACATTCTGTGTAGCTTAACTAAAAAACATTCTGTTTAGGCCTAAGTTACCATGAAAACGTGTCCACTTTAAACCGCAGCATTTTCTGTCAGCAATGTATGCCCATGACAAGTAACGTTAGTGCTGTCAACATTAACGCATGTGATTATTTTTTGTCCAGCTTTAATGTGTTAAAAAATATTTAACGGAATTAACGCAGCATCCTTTTTTCCTGTCATCCTTTAGCTAGGGTTATTAAATGATCACTCTCTTGTTCACGCAAATGCTTTGCGCGACAAGACAAAGAGAACGCGCTGTCAGTGAATGTCCTGAGTGACACACACACACGCACAGAAAGACGCGATTTTCTCGCGTTTGAACGAACAATAACACACACACATGTATGCCAAAATGCCAGTTTTGTTGAGTATCCTCACAAGAACAGTCTTAAATGAGTTAAATAAAATCTTAAATGGAAGTAAAGAGTAGTGAGAGAATGAGATGAGATCCTGTCAGCAGCGGCAGATCTTAAAGTGACAGCAGCCACTAATTCTGTCTGTCAGTAAAGTTAACCAAAGAACAAAGGGAACAGAGAACATTACTCACTGCTATTGACTAAAGAACACTTGTAGCTTTAATAAGGATTAATCTATATTTCATTTATAATTTATGAAGTGTGGACTGTTTTATAACTGTATTCAATTTCTGTATAGTCTATTTCATACCTGTTAGACAGGAAAGGCACAACACTGTAAAAAGTGTTCAGTTCACTTAGGCTACTTAAAAAAAATGAGGAAAACCATTGCCTTAAAATTATTAAGTAAATATACTTCATGCACAATCAAAAAAATGAACATTACTTACTTATTTCTTTCAATTAAGCATTAAGTGTAGCCTACTCATTTTTTTTAAGTAAGTGAACTGAACACTTTTTACAGTACAGGTAAATATGGCATTTATTATGGGTTTATGTAAGGTTTGTTTTCAGTTCACTTAAATTAAAAGTTGTTATATTTTTTGAAGCCTAATAGATGTTTAAAATTTGGGGGGAAATAATTTTCATCGAGACATCAAGTATTAAAATCAGTGATACTGGCCTTCATTCATAAAAAGATGCCATTAAACAATTATTTAAAATATATTGTCTTTATGTTGTTTCTACATTACAGTGGAAATTAAGTCTCACGTTATTTACATTTTATTTACACACAAAACATTAATGGCTAACATTTGTTTACTTTATAAAATGATTCTCTCAAGTCTTGGCGATCAACCCCTATTAAAGGTTCTCTAAGCGATCCTGGGTGACGTCACTTCTTGTTGACGTTCGAACTATTGTCAAACAAAACGGAGGCTAGCTAGACCCTCCCTCCTCCTCATCCGCACACTAACCCCCCAAACCACACCCCCAAACCCTTCTTGTCGGTCATTGGCTGGAACAGTTTGTTATGTTTTGGGGAGCGGGTCGCTGCAGTTTGTTTTTGGTGCTGTTTGTGAAGCATGGGCTGTCTACAGAGATCGCGTTTCTTTACAGTGTGTTCAGGGGACAGGCAGCCAGCGGATAGTGAGGAGATGTTTGCTGTATGTGACAAAAAATGTTTTGGCCTAAAAAACACATGACATCGCTTAGAGCACCTTTAAAGAAAGTAAGACATATTTTTCTTATACAAAGTTTAGCCTACTATTCTTTTTGGCAGAATTTATCATCATGATCAAATTATTTCCTGGATTTTGTATCACCATAGTCCTTAAATGTATGTTAATGCAGGAAATGGGATTCAAATCGAAAACATTTTTTCCCAATTTTGTGCCTCCCCAACACACACACACACACACACACACACACACACACTGCTCAAACCAAAGTTACACCCTTGAGTATACATTTCAGAATCTGCATACAAGCAATGTGAGTTACATAATCAGAATACTTTTTTCTTTAAAAGTAATGCATACCTTTAGATTTACAACAAAATATCAGAGATTCTTTTTCAAACAAGCAAGCACAGTGTTTTTGTGCGTACGCAGTGTTGATACATGAGGCCCCAGAACTAGTGAAAACATAGTAAAATAATGTAACAAAATAATGTTTTCCTTATAATTTTTTAATTGTCCTTAAGGATCTTGCAGGTGATTTTATCACGTTTAAATATGTTTCTCATATGTCATGGCTAAATGACTGTACAAGCATGTAAATACAATTTATTTGGAGTAAAATAATTTTTGTTGTTTAGGATTTTAGGCCTATGGATCGGTTATAAGTCTAAACTCATGGCCCAGTAAGCATACTGTAAATTTTGGGAAATATATTGACATTTAATGGTATTTTATTGCAGTTTAATCACTGACAAAATTACAGAAATGTCCTACAAAATATTAGAAAGATTTAGGCTGGAAAAGAAGTAATTTTGCATTTGGTTTTATCATTGTATTTAAGATTATGTTGGAAGGATATATTTACAGAAAAGTCTATGGTAGAAATGTGTGTATTTGATGTGGTTTTTTATTTTCAAAATCACTTTTTGGAAATGAAAGAACAAATACATAATGCATTTGTTTATTTTATTTGGAAAATTAACCAACTCTTTATGAATCAGATTTCTAACATTTTATAAATGACTTCTCATTTATAAATTATACATTTTACATAATCCTTTTGGAACAAACTAAAAATAAAAGTGCTGAAATGTAACTTTTTACAATTTTTCATCAGTTTCAATCACCTTTATGCCTTAGTTCATTATAAATGGTTTTGTGTATGATGAAATGCATGATTATTATAAAAACAATGATCAAAATGTTGTTTAAAATAGTTTATATGGAGTATGATTGTCACTCAGAAGAAAGTATTTAATATCAAGTAACCAGACACACAGAAATCAAAATTTTTCCAATCGTATGAAAGTTTTTTTCAGTCTGATATTTATCTGAGATTTGAGAAAGTATCTGGATTTTTTAAACATGTGACCAATTACCAGATCCTACGAGCTCACGCCACCAGAGCCCGCATGCGCCTTGTGTGACACTACCATCAAATATTAATTTTACCTGGGTAAGGTACTGTTCAAAGTTCATACACAACACCATAAACGGCATAATTGAAAGTATTTTCACACGGAAATAAAGGTACAGAAAAACAACCAACTAGCAATGCGAGGTAGGTCGATACAATATAAAATTTTGCTTATTGTTTGATATGTTTTTCTGTGCTTGCATGAAAACCAGTTTAAGTGTATTCTGCTGTTGAATAAGCTTTTGTTCAGCGTTTAAGCTTAAACGAGAAAACAGGACTTGATCTTCAAATGTTCCCCAAGTTTTCCTCTTTTATGTCTGTTGATATAAGAAGTATTTTTCATAATGTAAGCCAATTGTGAAAGGATTTAGACCTTACAATTATAAACTTATAATGACTGTGGACTCGGAGCTAATAGACTAATGAAAGCTTTATAATTTGGAATAGGCCTATTACCTTTTTCTGAGCAATTGAAAGTAACCTTCCCTACACATTTTTTCACATATTTCCTCTGAAAAAAATCATGCCACAAATTTGCATAAATAATTACTTCAAAATGAATGTTATATCTTCTGATTAGATGATTAGGCATTGCTTAAAGGAACACGCCGACTTTTTTGGACTTTAGCTTATTCACTTTTTTTTTTACCGCAACTCTGAGCGAACTCTCTGCTCCTCACCACGGCTTCTCCGCTGCTGCGCTAATCACTCCGCCCAAGTAGTGCTTCGCCTTCTGAGAATATAGTTCCCAGTATTTATACGGTTAAAATATGGCTGTGTCTCATATGACCTTGTTATTTGTACACTCTGTGACTATACAAATCACAATATGTAAATAGGAAAATGTTGGTGTTATTTTGTCACTTTTTTGGATTAGTATGCTGGAGCCATTTACATCCAGTCTTTGTGCTAAGCTAGGCTAACGGTGGGTGTGTCAGATAGAGTTACCGCACGCACGGAGATGAAAAATTTATGTATGGACTTATCTAACTCTGGGCGATACGGTGAATAAGCTAAAGTCCCCAAAAGTCGGCGTGTTCCTTTAATGTTAAATAGCTTTGGGAAATAATTGAAACTTGTAGAACAGACTGTGTGTTTTCTTGTTATCAGTTTCCATGAAGAGCAAAAACACCTTCACACACTGAGATCATGGCTGCTAAATCTCCTCAGGGTAGGTCAACCATTCTGTGCGTGTTTTCCAATGATGAAATGATTGATTAAACACCATTATGGAATAATATTAATTTGTTAATTTGATTGTGTTCGCTCTAAAGGAGGTTCGTCTGTACAGTCAGAGCTCAGAATTGTGATTCTAGGAAATGCGGGAGACGATAAGAATAAAGTGGTAAAATCTATCCTGAACCGCAAGAATCTGACAGGAGTGAAAGTTGGTCAGTGTACGTTACATCAGCGAGATCCAGCGGGACGGAGGATCAGTGTTGTTGAAGCTCCAGGATGGGACAGAACTTCAAAACAACAATCACCAGAGAACATAAAAGAAGAAGTTGAGAGAAGCGTGTCTCTTTGTCCTCCAGGACCTCACGCTCTTCTTCTGGTCATAGGGGTGGAAACTCTCTCTGAAGAACCTTCTACTAATGAAATTACAGCAGCACAAACTCACATGGAGTTGTTGTCAGAGTGCGTCTGGAAACACACGATCCTGCTGTTCGCTTGTGATGAAGGAGTGGAGGACACACAAATCAAAAAGTACATTTGCAGCGCAGAGAAAATCCTGGACAAGTGTGGAGGACAATACTATGTTCTTCAGAAAAGCGCTCAGAACCATGAACTTTTAAAGAAGATAGATGACCTGGTGGAGGAGAACGGTGGTGATTTCTTCACACCACAAGCTGAACTGATTAAACTCAAGACACAAGAAGCCTCTGGTGAGAGTGAACTCAGACAGAGACGTGGAAGTATTGCAGATCCTCCTGACTGTGAGTATTACTTCACTAAACGTACATTTACCGAAGCCCTGGATCTATTAGTGTTATTTTCTTTTACAGTGAATAAAGACAAAGGAGATTCTGTGGAGAAGAAAGAAACCACAGAGGCTGACAAATCTGTGGAAGACATATCGAAAATTTGCATGGAATTCAAAAAGATAGGACTGATTATTGTACTGATATTGATGGGAATAGTTGGAGCTCTTATTGGTGCAGTTGCTGGAGCTGAATATGGAGTTTTAGGGTCTTGCATTGGATTAGTCTTGGGTATCATTGTAGGGATTATACTTGCGAGTATCACCAAGTGCATGTACACTCACATTTATTCACGCTCTTTAAAGAAACCAACAGATAGCAGTGTGAATTCAGGTTGATACACATTTTGGCATTGAGATGCCTGGGAAAAATGTCCCAATTAACATGAATTCATCCCTACATTATAAACATCTGAATAAAGAGCTTATAATATATATGTCTTTATATATATATATATATATATATACACTCACACATACATAAATACATTTACTACACTAATTTACACTCTTGAATGAAACACTGCATAGGTCAGTAGGGTGAATGCAAAGTGGGATTTGTAATTTCTTAGGATTTATATTTTAATGTTCTTGCATTACTAAATACCAGCATTCATCAACACATTTAGACAGCTTTAAATGCTTTATAGCAAAGATGTGCATCTGAGGAAGCTAAGAAGCAGGTGTTTGCTAGATTTTGTACTGGTGTTGATGAATTTTCCTGAGCAATTGTTTTAACACATCAGCATGTTTAAATGTGTTTCTCATGTCATGTGCCTTTAAATGACTGTACAAGCACAATGTAAATACCATGTAAATAAAATTTATTTGGATTCAAATATTTTTTGTTGTTTAGCATTTTATGTATAGGTTATTAAGTGTAAACTAGACTCGTGGCCCAGTAATCGTATACTGTAAGGGTTTGGAAAATATATTGACATCTCATATGTCAAACATTGTGAGGCCATTTTCCATTTCTGGATTTTGCACCTGCAACAGTTTACATATGAAACTGGAAGCCTATATCCTCCCTTACAAACATGCATCTGTGCATTTGGCAGATGCTTCAAAGTGTCTTGTGTACATCATTTGCCAAATGCACAGATGCATGTTGCTGAAATGATTGTGACCCCTGCTACTTCTGCATGCAAATATGTACTTTGTTTCACCTAGAACTAAGTTGCCTCTTTTCTTTTCTTTTCTTTTTTTTAAACCTGCCACAGTATTTGACAGGCATGCACGTCTGTACCGGTGTTACCTGTATGACCTGGTAATGAGTAAGAGTGAAAGTATTTTATTTACCGAAGTAAAGAAGAAAAAACAACTTGCATTGCAAGGTTGGTTGGTAGCTCATATTTTAAGCATTATTTTGATATTTTCTTTTGATTTCATGTTTCCTGTGGTTGCCTTTACAAACTAAAAAATTAATGTATTCTGTGGCATACGTTTTTGTTCAGCATATGTTCACTTGAACCTGAAACGGGAGAAAGCTGAATGTCTTGAATGTTTGTTTTTGTCTTTATAGCCTTTGTTTACAATTACTCACCGGCCACTTTATTAGGTACCCCATGCTAGTAACGGGTTGGACCCCCTTTTGCCTTCAGAACTGCCTCAATTCTTCGTGGCATAGATTCAACAAGGTGCTGGAAGCATTCCTCAGGGAGTTTGGTCCATATTGACATGATGGCATCACACAGTTGCCGCAGATTTGTCGGCTGCACATCCATGATGCGAATCTCCCGTTCCACCACATCCCAAAGATGCTCTATTGGGTTGAGATCTGGTGACTGTGGAGGCCATTTTAGTACAGTGAACTCATTGTCATGTTCAAGAAACCAATTTGAAATGATTAGAGCTTTGTGACATGGTGGAAGTAGCCATCAGAGGATGGGTACATGGTGGCCATAAAGGGATGGACATGGTCAGAAACAATGCTCAGGTAGGCCGTGGCATTTAAACGATGCCCAATTGGCACTAAGGGGCCTAAAGTGTGCCAGGAAAACATCCCCCACACCATTACACCACCACCACCAGCCTGCACAGTGGTAACAAGGCATGATGGTTCCATGTTCTCATTCTGTTTACGCCAAATTCTGACTCTAACATCTGAATGTCTCAACAGAAATCGAGACTCATCAGACCAGGCAACATTTTTCCAGTCTTCAACTGTTCAATTTTGGTGAGCTCTTGCAAATTGTAGCCTCTTTTTCCTATTTGTAGTGGAGATGAGTGGTACCCGGTGGAGTCTTCTGCTGTTGTAGCCCATCCGCCTCAAGGTTGTGCGTGTTGTGGCTTCACAAATGCTTTGTTGCATACCTCGGTTGTAACGAGTGGTTATTTCAGTCACTGTTGCCCTTCTATCAGCTCGAACCAGTCTGGCCATTCTCCTCTGACCTCTGGCATCAACAAGGCATTTCCGCCCACAGAACTGCCGCTCACTGGATGTTTTTTCTTTTTCGGACCATTCTCTGTAAACCCTAGAGATGGTTGTGCGTGAAAATCCCAGTAGATTAGCAGTTTCTGAAATACTCAGACCAGCCCTTCTGGCACCAACAATCATGCCACGTTCAAAGTCACTCAAATCACCTTTCTTCCCCATACTGATGCTCGGTTTGAACTGCAGGAGATTGTCTTGACCATGCCTAAATGCACTGAGTTGCCGCCATGTGATTGGCTGCTTAGAAATTAAGTGTTAACGAGCAGTTGGACAGGTGTACCTAATAAAGTGGCCGGTGAGTGTATATGTGCTTTCTTTTTTTCAGTACAGTTTTGAAAATATATTTTTTTATTAAAATCTTGGAAATATATTGAATATGTGAGAGGGCTCAGACTAGCAACATAATATCTATGCTAAACCCTCATCCTTCTTCGCACTTTGTAACAAATCTTTCCCTCGCGGGTCAAAATTATCCGAAGCCCTAAAATTATACTTTTTTGTCCAGAAAGCTTATTTCATTTAATTTTGATATCTATTTTGTAAAAAAAAAAAAGAAATTACCTTTAAATTACTAGATTTGATCAATAAATAATAAATAAATAACAATCCAGTCAATTATTTTTTTGTGCATTAGAAAAATATTATCATATTTCCATAAGTGTTAAACTTGATCTCTCAATTAATGTCAGTCATTTGTAAAGTCCAAGGAGACGCAGTTTTCACTGTGAAACGTCCAAACATTTGTCATCTCTGAATGTGCTCTTTTCATTACGTTATGATGACGTCAGAGAAATTCACAAAAATATAATTAAAAACATAAAAGTCTATTCCTGGGTCCCAGGAGGATATTACTTTTTAAATTAAACAGCTTTAACAGTGAGAATTATAATAATTGTATATGATGATCAGGTGCAGATATCTGAATCAGAGAATATCACGGGTTTGGGCCGGTGTGTGATTTACTGTTAACAGTGTACAATTTGCACACTGAACATGGGTTGTTTTTGTGCTATTTCATGTTGAGTTATTACGACTTTAATATGAGGCCTGATCATAATGTGGGATTATCTATTATCTGCTACTATCCCTTATTTCCACATTTGTGTCTCCATTACACAAGACACACATGGTGAACAGACCGCCCAGGCAAGACCATTATACTAAGGATTAATTTACCGGGGTAAAGTATTGTTCTAACTTCACAAACACCATAAACGGCATAAATGAAAGGATTTTAATACAGAAATGAAGGAAAATGTCCTTAACATGATAAACTTATAACGACTGTTTTGTTCTCTGTGAACCCAGAGCTAACAAACTAATACAAATTAGCATAATTAGTGCTACAAAATAGTGTTACATCTTTTATGATTAAGCAAGATGAAATCTGTGTATTCAGTGAAACATGTAGGCTAGAACTGACTGTTTTCTTGTTATCAGCAAAAACAGCTTCACACACTGAGATCATGAGTGCCACACCTTCTAAAGGTAGGTCAATCCTTCTGTGTGATTTATTTCAACAATTATGATTAGACAGCATAATGGAATATTAATTAGGCGAGAATAATGGGGATTTCTTCATTCCACATGATGAAGAGGTTATGATAAGGGAGCGACATATGGTCATGCGGAGACGTGGAAGTAATGCGTTTATTGCTCCTGAAGGTGAGTATTTTTCCAGTAAACCTATTCAGCTGCTCTCACAATTACTAAAGCACTGATTTATGGGTGTTATTTTCTTTTACAGTGAGAAATGACAACAACAACCCAAAATTATTAGGCCTCCTGATATTAAAGGGTTTAGTTGGATCACTTATTGGTGCAGTTGTTGGAGCTCAAGCTGGAGTTACAGGGTCTGGCGTGGGAATAATCTGGGGTGCTTTTGTAGGGATTTTAGTTACAATATTTATCAATCAATAAGACATGACAACATTACTTCAGACCTTCGTGCCATCCAGCAACTTGCGTTCTGCAAGTGAACGGTGCCTTGTGTTGCCATCCCAAAGAGGCACAAAATCACTTTCACAGACCACTTTTTCAGTGGCAAGTCAGACAAATCTCTTTTTCTATCTAGCATCTGCTAAATATAACAATATGTTTCATTTCAATCAATTTCAACATTTAGTTACACGAGATTCAATTAGCACGTTTTTTTTTTGACAGTTTAATATAATTTAACTTGAAATGACTGTCAAGTTGATTGTACTTTAAAAAGTAGATACTTTTGTACTTATTGTACTTTTTTTTAAGTGTTCATTTACATTAAAATATTCCAAGGTCGTGAGACATCAAGAAAGGCTTGTCATAATGCAATGATAGTTAGACGATCGTGAAGGAGGAGAGAGGACCAGGCCTGGACTATTTTATTGAATGTTTTGTTGTATTGTGTGGCGCCAGTCGACCATGGGGACTGCCATCTTTACTTTTGTTTTTTATTTTGTTTCTAAAATCGTTTGATTTTTCACTTTTGCTTTAAACTTTTTAGCTTTGTAACTTTGCAGATATTGTTTATGCAACATTACACACTAACTAGAGTTATCAAAGTGAAATCATAATCAACCATTTTAAAGCCTAATAAATGTTGAAATTGCAAGCTTTTATGCTGTAATGCTGAATGATGAAAGTTACTTTTACAAACAAGGTTACAAACGAGTTTACAAGCAAGTTACTTTTACAAACAAGGTTACAAATGAGTTTACAAGCAAGTTACTTTTACAAACAAGGTTACAAACGAGTTTACAAGCAAGTTACTTTTACTAACAAGGTCACAAACGAGTTTACAAGCAAGTTACTTTTACAAACAAGGTTACAAACGAGTTTACAAGCAAGTTACTTTTACAAACAAGGTTACAAACGAGTTTACAAGCAAGTTACTTTTACAAACAAGGTTACAAACGAGTTTACAAACAAGTTACTTTTACAAACAAGGTTACAAATGAGTTTACAAGCAAGTTACTTTTACAAACAAGGTTACAAACGAGTTTACAAGCAAGTTACTTTTACAAACAAGGTTACAAACGAGTTTACAAGCAAGTTACTTTTACAAACAAGGTTACAAACGAGTTTACAAGCAAGTTACTTTTACAAACAAGGTTACAAACAAGTTTACAAACAAGTTACTTTTACAAACAAGGTTACAAACGAGTTTACAAGCAAGTTACTTTTACAAACAAGGTTACAAATGAGTTTACAAGCAAGTTACTTTTACAAACAAGGTTACAAACGAGTTTACAAGCAAGTTACTTTTACAAACAAGGTTACAAACGAGTTTACAAGCAAGTTACTTTTACAAACAAGGTTACAAACGAGTTTACAAGCAAGTTACTTTTACAAACAAGGTTACAAACAAGTTTACAAACAAGTTACTTTTACAAACAAGGTTACAAACGAGTTTACAAGCAAGTTACTTTTACAAACAAGGTTACAAACGAATTTACAAACAAGTTACTTTTACAAACTAGGTTACAAACGAGTTTACAAGCAAGTTACTTTTACAAACAAGGTTACAAACGAGTTTACAAACAAGTTACTTTTACAAACAAGGTTACAAACGAGTTTACAAGCAAGTTACTTTTACAAACAAGGTTACAAACGAGTTTACAAGCAAGTTACTTTTACAAACAAGGTTACAAACGAGTTTACAAGCAAGTTACTTTTACAAACAAGGTTACAAACGAGTTTACAAACAAGTTACTTTTACAAACAAGGTTACAAACGAGTTTACAAACAAGTTACTTTTACAAACAAGGTTACAAATGAGTTTACAAGCAAGTTACTTTTACAAACAAGGTTACAAACGAGTTTACAAACAAGTTACTTTTACAAACAAGGTTACAAACGAGTTTACAAACAAGTTACTTTTACAAACAACGAAGATAAAGTTACACAAAAGTATTGCATATCAATATTTTGCGTCACTCCTAAAAGTAACTTTCTCCAACATTGGCATTGTGTAGGCCTAACATGTATTTTTTGATTAACTTTTTGATTAATTTTATTTTTCATTTAATAAAGTTTTCCTTGTATGTTGTTTTCAAATTGTCTGTGAAGGATATTACTCATTTCTGGTGTTTTTTACATAGAATGTTTAAATATGTTTCTCATATATATCATCATCCAAAATACAGTTAATAAATTATTTACTGGACTAAACTAATTTTTGCTTGTTTAGGATTTCATGAAGCCTATAGGATACCAAGTATAAACTAGACTCATAGCCTAAGCAGATACAGATAATGTTTTGGAAAAATGTGGAAAATATATTGACATTCAGGCTAATGGTATTTCATTGCAGTTTAACGGTAAATCATACATCAGACACAAGTGTCATACACAATGTCAGACCATTTTGCATTTCTGGATCTAGTTGCTACAATCTAAAGAGTTCATGCATGGAACTAAATTCATTAGATTCACTGGCATTATTACAATCTCTTCAGTGATTCCCATTTGTTTGTGCATTCATCCTTTATTCGTTTATTAAATGTAAACTATTTACGATATAATGTAGGTAACGTTACTATGAATAGGTTTAAGTGCTTTGTAGTGATGTTCAGTTTATTGGGCCGCAGAGCGCCTCATGTGGCAACCGGAAATACATCGCGCTGTGTCCCGGAAACACGCGGGGCAGAGGCAGAAACTGCGACTGCCGCGAAATCTCTGGACATTCTTTGGTGAGTTTATGCTTTTACTGTAGCAGCTTACATAATTTAACTGGTTGTTTACTGTTTATGTGAGCAGTTGCAGCAGCGTCCTGGCATACGACATACTAAACTACATATTAAACTCTTTTGAATTATGTTTCTAAATCTTCTATAAGTCATGGCTGCACATATAAGAATACATAATGATTAAATAACGTTTCAGGACAAAGATAACACAAAGTGCAATAAAGTAAATTCAAGTAAAGATGATAGAAAGTGTGCAAAAGACAAATGTGTCCAATCACTAATTTTATGAGCTCATATTAATTTAGAAATAACACCCAATATTATTATTATTTTAAATCACACTGTCAAAATTAACCAAGTCACACTGCGGTACTATTTACAATAAAACAAAGAAGGGTATTAACATAGCAAAACACTTGCTGACCAGTGACAGGGCCTAAAAATAAAATACTGTATACATTCATATAGTACATTCCTAGATCCTTGATGGGAAAAAAGTTTTTAATGAATATAAAAAGGTCTGATTTGGTCTGTAACTGTATATTTATTTACTATAATGTTTGCTGTATATTTGTCCAACATACTTTTTTTTAAAATAATAATAATTGCAGTCAAATGTTTGTAAACATCTGCACAGTATTTACTGAGATGTGCTAAATGTGTTGCAGGTGAAGATGAGCAAGCGCAGATCCGCCGCTCTCACTGAAGCTCAGTGTGTGTCTCTGGTCCGTCAGTGTTTATTACGCTGTCCTCATGATTGTGTTTCTACAGTTCGTTATTGTTTAATACTGTTGTGATCGTGTGTTCAGGCTCAGAAGCTCCTAAGAGAGAGACTGTGTCATCAGAAGCTCCCGGATCAGCCCTCGGGTCTGGACTCACAGCACAAGTGTGTTCATTACACAATATCTGTGTGTGAGTGTGTGTGTGTGTGTGTGTGTGTCTGAGAGAGAGAGAGATCGTGTGTGTCTGTGTGTGTGTGTGTGTGTGTGTGAGAGAGAGAGAGTGTGAGTGTGTGAGAGAGACTGTGTCATCAGAAGCTGCCGGATCCCCCTTCGGGTCTGAACTCACAGCACAAGTGTGTTCATTACACAATATCTGTATGTGTGAGAGTGAGCGAGAGAGAGAGAGAGAGAGAGAGTGTGTGTGTGTGTGTGTGTGTGTGTGTGAGTGAGTGAGAGTGTGTGTGTTGATTCTAACACGGTGTGTGTGTGAATGAGAGAGTGAGTGAGTGTGTGTGTGTTGATTCTAACGATGTTTGTGTGTGTGTGTCTGTGTGTGTGTGTGTGTGTGTTCAGGCACTTGCTGGAGCTGTTGAGACGCACTGCTGTTCATGGAGAGAGTAACTCTGTCCTCATCGTTGGTCCTCGAGGATCGGGTAAAACTATGGTACAAAACTGAGATTTAAATCCCGTTCACACCAAGGCTGATAAACTGTAACTATCAAGTTTTGATAATTGTGAAGTCCACACAACAACTGTAATGATAACGACACAGAGGCACGATATCGTTGGAATAATTTTCAGAGTGAATAATTTTTTTTCCAGCTGATGGAGGATAAAAACATTGACAGCCAATCAGAATCCATCCTCCTTTAAAGGGATAGTTCACCCAAAAATGTAAACTCTTACAGTAATTACTCTCCCTCATGTTGTTCAACCCCGTAAGACTTTCGTTCATCTTCGAAACACAAATCAAGATATTTTTAAGATCTAATCTGAGAGCTGGATCACTCCTCCATAGGCTTCAATGTTATTGAAACTTGCCGGCCCAGAAAATTAGTAAAGACATTGTTGAAATAGTCCAAGTGACTACAGTGGCTCAACCGTGTGTGTGTGTGTGTGTGTGTGTGTGTGTGTGTGTGTGTGTATGTGTGTGTGCGCAGCTGCTGGGTTGTGTCCTCAGAGAGCTCATGAGTCTGAAGGAAGTGCAGAAGAACGTTCTTCTAGTGGAGCTCAACGGTGAGTTCATGCGTGTGGTTTTCCTGCTGTTCGTAATTAGTATGAGACTGTGACACGAGACGCTACATCTTTACACGCCGGTTCTCTGTGCGCAGGTCTTCTGCAGACGGACGACAAAATCGCCCTTAAGGAAATCACTCGCCAGCTGCACCTGGAGAACGTCGTAGGAGACAAAGTGTTTGTGAGTGTGACAGGAATAATTTACCCACAAACCAACGTTCTGTCATTATTTACTGAAAAAGTGCAGCTTTTCTTGTGTTTTAGGGGAGTTTTGCAGAGAATCTGGCTTTTCTTCTGGAAGCTCTCAAGAAAGGTGAGGCTTCAACATTGTTAGCGTTGCGAATCGAAAATCAGTTCTGCAATCTGATACTTGCTATAAAATTAAAATTCATATTTTGCTTATTGATTTCAATCTGCCCATTTTAATGTGATTTTAAACCATTCAAGCTCAGGAAGACACAGAAGAACTCAGTTCGGCACAAAAGCTTCACATTTATTTTTAAAGATAACTTATAAACACTTTAAAGACAGCTCTTCTGTGAGCTACGAGTTTAATCGTTCTTATTTGCTTTTGTAGCCTGCATTATTTCAACTTGTTTTAAAATAATCGTGTTTAAAGGGATACTCCACTTTTTTTGGAAATAGGCTCATTTTACAACTCCCCCAGAGTTAAACTGTTGAGTTTTACCGTTTTTGAATCCATTCAGCCGATCTCCGGTTCTGGCGGTACCACTTTTAGCATAGCTTAGCATACATCATTGAAGTGGACAAGACCATTAGCATTTCTAAAGAAAAATGACCAAAGAGTTTCGATATTTTTCCTATTTAAAACTTGACTCTTCTGTAGTTACATCGTGCACTAAGACCGACGGAAAATGTAAAGTTGCGATTTTCTAGGCTGATATGGCTAGGAACTATATGTAATGATATGACGCAGCGCCTGAAAATAGGCCACCTTCCGTCAACACAACGGAACTATTTTCAGGCGCTGCGTCATATCATTACGCCTGCTGCTCTCATGGTACGGCATTGAAGTTTCTTGATTATTACGCAGGAATGAGAGTATAGTTCCTAGCTATACCAGCCTAGAAAATCGCAACTTTTCATTTTCCGTCGGTCTTAGTGCATGATGTAACTACAGAAGAGTCAAGTTTTAAATAGGAAAAATATCAAAACTCTTTGGTCATTTTTTTTTGAGAAATGCTAATGGTCTTGTCAACTCCAATGATGTATGCTAAGCTATGCTAAAAGTGGTACCGCAAGAACCGGAGATCGGCTGAATGGATTCAAAAACGGTAAAACTCAACAGTTTAACTCTGGGGGAGTTGTAAAATGAGCCTATTTCCAAAAAAAGTGGAGTATCCCTTTAACAGCGGAATTACCCATGATGCAGTACAGAATATGCCACCAATCAGAGTCAATGCAAGAAAAAATCTGCCAAAAGAATGTGCCGCCCACTTAATCGAGTCGATCTCCTTATACTCTCAAGATACTTAAATATTTAAATACATATGCATATTTTGAAATAAACGGATTGTTTTATTTATATAATGACTTGTATTATATTTCTCCATAATTTTTTATTCGATTATGCTGTTCGCAATGCTTCATGGGATTGTTGTTCTGTCTGCAATAGAATGTTTTGCAGAAAGACACAGAATAAATGTTTGACTTAATTTTTACCTAATTGGGATCTAAAATGGTAGTCGATAAGAAAAGAATCGAAATTGAAAGGCAGAATCGGAAACGCTACAATTCAAATACCCGACCCTAATCAGTATTATTGTAGTATAATTTATATACGGTTTTAATATTTTCATTTAGTTTTAATTTTTATGTTTTCTTATTAATTTTAGTTAAACTTTTATTAAATTGTTTTATTTTTTGTCATTGTTTTATTATTATTATTTTAATATGTTTTATTTTAATATTTCTAATTTGAAATTATTATTTTTTTTTTTTTTTTTTTTGTAATTTTACTACTTCAACTTAAACCTATTTTATTTAGCTGCCAAAGCAACATTTTTACTTTTTTAGTTTAAGTTTTTCATCCATTATTAATATTTTATCTCAGTTGTATTTTTTAAGTAATGAAAGCGATTGAATAGTTTTGTGTCCCTGTGTGTGATTGTGTCAGGTGACCGGAGCAGCAGTCGTCCTGTGCTGTTCCTGCTGGATGAGTTTGATCTGTTCGCTCATCATAAGAACCAGACGCTGCTGTATAACCTGCTGGACGTGTCCCAGTCTGCGCAGACGCCCGTCGCTGTGGTGGGACTGACCTGCAGACTGGTGAGCACACACCAGGGTTCCCGTGGATCCTTAAAAAGTCTTAAAAAGTCTTAAATTAGATTTTTAAAATTTAAGACCATAAAAAGTCTTATAAAGTCTTATTTTTACTTATGAAAGGTCTTAAATTTTAGATGACACTTTGACTTAGACATATCTAAAAGCTTTCCAAATTAAAACTATCTAATTAGCGTATGTATTTTTTTTTTTTTATTATTCTATCTTTGTGGATTTGCTAGTTCACGTGACATTTCGCGTCACTCGCGAGTCGCGGCAGCATAACTGTCTCCTGCACGCGAGAGGAGAGAAGGAGAAGAAAGGTCGTAAATGTCAGTTCAGTTGTAAGTTCATTCTTTATGTGCGTATGGTGTGCGATGTGTATTGTCTATTATGATATTGTAATCATTGTTTTAACAATGTAAGAGGTACTGCGAGCTGACATCGCATTTGTCTCGTGCTTTCACTGCGTGATGTGTGCAGTTATGTCCCCAAATTAGTTTTTGTCTTATATTTATATCATATTATGTTCTTATATTGGAATATCACATCAGAAAGAGTGCCGTTTTCCCGTGCACGATTCCAAGTGTGATATTTATGTTATACAACTGTTAAATTAACAATAAGTTAACATTGAAACTAGTTTTTAGACACAATATTGTTAATATTGTTTGTTTTCCCTTTATTTCGCCGACTATAATTTCAAAATGAAACCGTAGCAAAGTCTCAATGCAACCGACAGCGATGATTTCTTGACTGAAATCCGCGTTTTGAACGAATCACTTGCTTTTTTCCGAATGAATCAGCCGTTTGAACGAATTGGTTGAATGAATGACTCCCTCAACTCACTTATTAAGACAGTGATTTGCCTCTGCGGTTTCATATTTAAAGTACCCTTTAAAATAAAATGTTAAAATTAGAAATCATTTCATATTTAAATATTGAATATTGATTTAAAAATATATATCTCATAGCTTTATTTATGCAGTTGTAAATGGAGTGTAAATATATTAATGCCACTTCTGATGCCGCTTCTGTCACCTCTGCACTGCAAAGATGGATTTTGATTGAATGATTTAATTTGACTGGTAACAGTGGTACTGTATGATTATTATATAATTAAATATTATTGTATAATTACTGTATAATTTAATTTGAATGATAGTATCTGACATTAAAGGTGATGCATAACTCTAAATAAGTTTAGAAAAAATTTCCATATAGGTGAAAATGCCCCTGAAAAAATCTATTTAAGGTGGCAAATATTGCCCCTTAATCAAAATATTAATTTCTGTCACTGCTGTGAACCGACCACTGCATAGAATATGAAAAATATGAATATCTTCATGAGTCAGCTGTCAACCACAGACCTAAACCAGCCATGGCACCAGCACAAAAACACAATCAGTAAAAAAATCATCTAATTATTATCAACAAAACGTTGAAAATATCAAGATATATTTGTCAATACTGCACAGCCCTAATGTACGGTATTAATTTTGATTTCTTAAGGTCTTAAAAAGGTCTTAAAAAGCCTTAAATTGCCTTAAATTTGACTTTCAAAAGTGTGCAGGAACCCTGACACACACACACGAGTCAACATCACGCTTAAAGGTACGATTCACTTAAAAATTAAAATTCTGTTTTCATTTACTCACTCATGTTGTTATAAATTTCTTTCTTCTGCTGAACACAAAAGTTGGTAAAAATGTTGGTAATCAGAGAGTTGACGGTACCCATTTTCTTCCATGGTATTTTTTTTCCTACCATGGAAGTCACTGGCTACCATCAACTGTTTCATTACCAACATTCTTCAAAATATCTTCTTTTGTGTTCAGCAGAAGAAAGAAACTCATACAGGTTTGAAACATCATGAGTGTGAGTAAATGATGACAGAATTTTTATTTTTAAAGCTGCAGTCCGTAACTTTTTTGGGGGTTAAAAATTATCCAAAATACATTTGAGAATCCAGAAAGTTTTAAACAACAATCACCAGTGACATGTTAACTCACCCGCTGTAAAATGCAAAAGACTTCGTTCGGACTTCGGAGTGGCTACAGAAAAAAAGAAACTGCAACCGGACCCATGCGAAAACAAGGATAATATCGGAAGGACATTACATGTAGTCACGCAATGCTGACGTTGTTAACATTAACAATTTGAGAACAAAGTATAGTTTGCACGGTTTTGCGTATGATAAGCGATTGTTAGATTTAATCAGCGCGATTTACGGCAATGTCAGAACCAGAACAAAAGTGGATGTTACTCACTTGTTCAGATGACATTTCCCGGTGAAAATTATTATGTTGATCATACTTCCAAAAATAATAATCTGGGATTCTGAATGCCAGTATCCACACCGGCGCGGTGACTGACAGCTGCACAGACACTCTCCTCAAACACTGTGTTCATCCGCGCTGTGTGGTGTTGAAGTACACCACATCACGTAAAGTTGATAATTCCGCGAATAAGTGCAATTGCAGATTTCGAACAGAGATGGCGACAAAAAAAACTGCAGACTGCAGCTTTAATATCTTCAGTAATTTTGCTTTTCCAGTAAATTAATCTGGCTTTAAGAAAGTTTAGGAAAACGACAATTTTTATTTTTTTGCAGTGTAATCAATACATTTCATGAAAAAATATATTCAGAAAGATTGCAATATAATGTGCTTAAGAAAATGAAAAACATAATTTTGTGCAAAAATGGTTTATAATATAATGTTGACAATATAAGGGACAGATAAAAGCAAAAAGGTTTAATAGAAAACATGGTTTAAATGTAGTGACTGTACTAGTCAGATAAAATTGAAAAATTAAATAAGCAATGTGGCGTATGTTCTTTACAATAAGGTCTCATTTGTTATCAGTGCATTAACTAACATAAACAATAAGCAGTACATTTGTTACAGTATTTATTAATTTTTTCACACGAGCAGCTGATCCTCCTGGGGTTATGGTGTGTGTTGCAGGACGTGCTGGAGCTGCTGGAGAAGCGAGTGAAGTCTCGGTTCTCTCACAGACAGGTTCATCTCTTCAGCTCGCTCTCCTTCGCTCAGTATATGGATGTGGTTCTCGATCAGCTCCGTCTGCCTCAGGACTTCCCGGACCACAGGTTCTCCACCGAGTGGAACCGCAGCATCACGGTACAGATGCTACACACATCTAGTGCTCACGGTACAGATGCTACACACATCTAGTGCTCACGGTACAGATGCTACACACATCTAGTGCTCACGGTACAGATGCTACACACATCTAGTGCTCACGCTACAGATGCTACACACATCTAGTGCTCACGGTACAGATGCTACACACATCTAGTGCTCACGCTACAGATGCTACACACATCTAGTGCTCACGGTACAGATGCTACACACATCTAGTGCTCAGATGCTACACACATCTAGTGCTCACGCTACAGATGCTACACACATCTAGTGCTCACGGTACAGATGCTACACACATCTAGTGCTCACGCTACAGATGCTACACACATCTAGTGCTCACGGTACAGATGCTACACACATCTAGTGCTCACGGTACAGATGCTACACACATCTAATGCTCACGCTACAGATGCTACACACATCTAGTGCTCACGCTACAGATGCTACACACATCTAGTGCTCACGCTACAGATGCTACACACAGCTAGTGCTCACGCTACAGATGCTACACACATCTAGTGCTCACGCTACAGATGCTACACACATCTAGTGCTCACGATACAGATGCTACACACATCTAGTGCTCACGCTACAGATGCTACACACATCTAGTGCTCACGCTACAGATGCTACACACATCTAGTGCTCACGGTACAGATGCTACACACATCTAGTGCTCACGGTACAGATGCTACACACATCTAGTGCTCACGGTACAGATGCTACACACATCTCTAAATTAATAACTGTTTTTACAAAAAGAATGAACCATCACTGAACATACTTAAGATGGACTAAGGGTGGGTTGCACCAACAAGGATTAATCTTAAATCTAGATTTATCAAGGTTTATCTAATAATTCTGTTGCACCCAAGTTTAAACCTTTTTTAAAAATAAGTTATATTTATAGGTTTTAAGGTTTACATTTAAACCATAATTTTGATCCTGGATTTAATTAATATTTAAGATAGATTAACTTTAATCCTGTTGCACCATAACTTTAAACTTAAAACATTAATTTTAAACTTGCAGGTGAGGAGCTTTAAATAAAATAAAGTGCACCTACAATTAAAATATGTGGCTGATTGAACAAAGACAGAAACAGTGGGTGTGTCGTCAGGTCTCAGAGAGGTGTTTATTACAAGCAAACAATATATTTACTGCATTGAGCCGGCAGACCGTGAACTTACACCTGCTAACGGGATGCGGATCCGTCACTCATCTCGCTGTCGGACAAATTAAAGAAGAGAGAAATATATTTGGCGCGTGACGGCAGCGGTGATGATGCGGTGAGGATCACCAGTGGAGATTTCATGTGTTAACAAACAAGTATTCATTACTTCAATGAGCTCATTGTTCCTGCATTAAATTATTACATTGTTTAAATAATAAGTTTTTCGCTAACTGTGATTTTGTACATTTTTCGAAAATGCAAACTTAGACCGTTTCCCCAGATCACTGTAAATTATATGGACTCGTGTATTTTCTGTAAAGCTGCTTTGAAATGATGTGTATTGTGAAAAGCGCTATACAAATAAACGTGAATTGAATTAAAATGAATATTCACTCCGTGAATCATGCATACCAGTTTTTTTTTATATATATTTTTTTATTTTATTTTTATCTCTGTTGTTTTCGGCTTATGAAATCCGCACACGCTTCCACAATAATGTGTTCATTGCCTGCTTTATCAGGAACGGTCTCTCTGCGTAACAGTTAATTAAGACATTTTACAAGTTTATTTCCTTTATCGGCAAGAGCTATTATCATCAGAGAGAGAGAGTTTCTGGTGGTCAATAAAGAAGGAAATACAATATTAACATTGTTGCTGTTTAATTACAACGGCAAATCCATCATGGCGTAGAAAATTGATCATAAATGCCAGTTAAAATTCGAATGATTCCCTGATTGTCAATCTGTGTTTAAAATAAAGTGGTGCAACACAACTCGATTTAAAATAAAGCCTAGATCAACAAATCCTAGATTAGCTCTAAACTGCTTAATTTAATCCTTATTGGTGCAACTCACACTATGACACTGACACGAAATTTCTTGCATTATTTTCCTGTTATGACTGTAGAGCTGCTTTGAAACAATCTTTAGTAAAAAGCGCTGTATAAATAAAGCTGACCTGTGCATCGAGACAAATCTTCTTCTAATGTTTATTTGCTGCTGTAATTAGTTGTAAAGAGGAAGAGATGAAACCGTATGAAAGCTGAGACTCTTTCATAACAAGAGCTTGTTGTTATTATTGAATGGCAGGCGCTACTATAATGTTTAGTGTAGTTCCCTTTCGAGAGGTTCCTCCTATTGCGTAAGCTTACGCTATGGGAAAACTCCTTTTCTCGAGAAATATTGAAGTCTTTATGTAAAACGCATTGCAGCTGCACAGCATACAGCAATGAGCGAGGCAGCTCGGTCATTGGCTGTGCTGCGGCAACTTGCACGAACCAATGACGGGGCGACTCTGAACCCGCTTCCAATGAGCGTGCTTCGCGCCCACGCGCGTCAGAGCCCGCCAAGATGGGCGTGGCCAAGGGCTATATATTGGGCGCCCCGTCGTCTGAGTTCTTTAGATTTAATCTCCTTCAGCAAAGAACCTTCTCTTCGCTGGATCCTCCGGATTTGTTGGAGTCTTTTCGCCGCCGCCGTCGACAAGCCTACAGCAGGACTGCTTCGAGGACGCCGGCGCCTTCAGCCGCCTTCGATCCCTTCTGCTAAGCCATCCGGCGCACATCATCTATATCCTTTCAAAGCTTTCAGTGTTCGCCCCCGCGACACTTTTTCTAAAAGAGCAAATTTAACTAGGCGTTGTTTCAAATGCCTTCCTGCGCCTCGTGTCGAGGCCCTCTTCAGGACGGGGATCGTCACATCATCTGCGCCCGCTGCCTGGGACCGGACCACGCAGAGGCTGCCCTCACTCGAGGCGGATGTCCCGAGTGTGACGCCCTGGGCCTCACCGAGCTGCGCGCTCGCTTCGCCGTTTTCACCGCGAAAGAGCCCACATCTTCCGTGCTGCCGTCTCCTCTAGTCGAGCCGCGAAAGAAAAAACGCCGCTCACAGAGGCCGCCGGAGCACGCGGTTTGCAGTGATGTCACGCCGGGCCAATCCCCGCGTGCTTCACCACCACCCGAAGACTCCCCGCCGCCAGTCCAGTTCACACAGGCGGATGACGATGATAAGGATGACAGTTTTTCCTGTGATGCTGCATCCGACGACTGGCCGGGCTCGTCCTTCGACCCCGCTCCATCGACATCAGCGGGCACGAGCACGGGCTCCAGCATGGACTCGGAGATCGTCCGCATTCTCTCTAAGGCCGTGGAAGACCTCGGGCTCGATTGGTCTTCCCCGGAAGAACCCGCCCGCAGCCGACTGGACGAGTGGTTCCTGCAGGGGCGCCGACAGGCCCCTCGACAAAGACCCTCCCCCTTCTTCCCGGAAGTTCACGACGAACTCACGAAGTCGTGGAAAGCCCCGCACTCCGCTCGCCTGAAGCCTTCTTTTTCTTTGTCGCTCTCCTCTGTGGACGGCGCGAAAGAAAGAGGCTATGAGGGGACTCCGCCCCTCGAGGAGGCTATGGCCAATCATCTGTGTCCACCCTCCAACGCTGGATGGAAAGCTAAAGCTTCTCATCCCTCGAAGCCTTGCCGGTCTACTTCAGCTCTCGCCGGTCGCGCATACGCCGCCACCGGCCAAGCTGCATCAGCGCTTCACTCTATGGCTGTCCTCCAGGTGTTTCAAGCCAAACTTCTCCGCAGTATGGACGAGTCTGGACCCGATCCTGAGGCATTTAAGGACCTACGCAGCGCCACTGACATAGCGCTGCGAGCTACAAAAGCCACCGCCCAATCCATCGGCCGTGCTATGGCTAACCTGACTGTCCTTGAGCGCGATCTGTGGCTGACGCTAACAGAGATGAAGGATGCAGATAAGGCGTCATTTCTCGACGCGCCTATCTCCCAAAGCGGCCTGTTTGGACCAGCGGTGAAGGAGTTCGCCGAGCGCTTCACCGAAGCCTGTAAGGACTCACAGGCTATGCGTCACTTCCTGCCCAAGCGATCTAGCTCATCGCAGAGCCGCCAACGGCCGCCTCAGCAGCAGGGAGCTAAGGCGGCGCCCCCCGTCTCTCAGCCCAAACCTGAAACGGATTTTCGACGCCGCTCGCGCTCTGCCAACAGGAAGCAACCGCCCGAGCGACGGGGACCTCGGCCCAGGATTGTGCTGAACCCAGAGCCTCGTAAGTCCTCCTAGCTACAGGGAGGAAAAGGGAGAGCGCGTGTCTCGCAAGAGCCGGACCAGTCCCCTTACAGGCGGCTGGAAATGTCTATACAGCAGCCAATGTGCCAGCCACACAGCTCGCCCACCTGCAAACAAACGCCGTTTTTACGGCGACACACAGAAATCACATAAAGAGCTATTTTCTGCCTGTGTCATTAAAGGGTCACGTGGCCACACCAAAGTGCGCATTCCCACATATCAAAACTGTCAACGCAGTGCCAAATGTTTTCCCAGCTCAGGCTGGACGCCCCATAAATGTAGATTGTGTGCCAACTGTCACGTATGCACCACTACACACAAGCACTGTTCCCACAGTTATAAACACTTCCCCAGTAAAAGAGTAGCGCGTGTGCCCGCTGTTATGCACGCACCCCAACTCACAAACACTGTTTATATGGCCAAAAACCTCCCGCCACGAGCGGGAAGTTTTATGAAAGTGGCGCGCGTGCCTACCACAGTCTATGCACCCCCACCCATAAGCACTATACACACAGTGTTAAACATTTCCCCATCTCACTCTGTGAGCATTACAGCGAGCGTGCCTGTAATCTCACACGCACCCCTGCACTCGGCATTCAACAGAGCTGCTCAGCGCGCGCCCGCGCCGCTGAGAGCTGTAAGCTCGGCATTAACACAGAACGATTCGCTGGCGGGAGCCATACGTCACTGCGACACGTCCCCGGCCAGCATTCAGCCCATATCTGTGCGAGCGAAAGCTTGGGAAAATATCCCCGACATGCCGAAATGGGTTTTGAACATAATAAAACACGGTTACTCGCTTCAATTCACTCGCAGACCGCCCCGCTTCACAGCAGTGGTAGAGACGAAAGTGAGAAAAGATGTTTCACATGTTCTACGCACCGAGATGCTCAAACTGATAGAGAAAGGCGCTATAGAGACAGTCCCTCCCTCTATGAGCGAGGCAGGTTTTTACAGCCGCTTTTTTCTCGTCCCGAAAAAGGATGGCGGTCTCCGCCCCATTCTAGATCTCAGACATCTGAACAAAGCTTTAATGATTCGCTCGTTCAGAATGTTAACAACCAAGCATATCCTCGCGCAAGTTCGCCCGGGGGATTGGTTTCTGTCAGTGGATCTGAAAGACGCTTACTTTCACATTCCAATAGCGCCTCATCACAGGCCATTTCTGAGATTCGCTTTCGAGGGACAGTCATACCAGTACACAGTACTACCATTCGGCCTGTCACTGGCACCCCGTACATTTACGAAATGTATGGATGCAGCACTTTCCCCCCTGAGACAGCGGGGAGTGCGAATACTGAATTATCTCGACGATTGGCTAATCCTAGCACAATCAGAGAGCCAGTTAGTGACACACAGGTCTTGGATTATCAGTCATCTAGAGTGCCTGGGTCTAAAAATAAATTTTGCAAAGAGCATGCTATCCCCCAGCCAGAATATTTCTTTTCTGGGAATAGTGCTAGACTCAGTGCAGATGACGGCGCGCCTCTCATCAGAGCGCGCGCTCACTATCCGGCGCCTTGCAACATCGTTCAGAGCGGGTGCGCGCGCCCCCGTCAAGCGATTTCAGAGGATGCTCGGTCTCATGGCCTCAGCATCAGCTGTACTCCAGCTAGGATTGTTGCACATGCGTCCTCTCCAACGCTGGCTCAAAAGCCGTGTCCCCACTCACGCGTGGCGCTCAGGCCACTTTTTAATCAGAGCAAATCACGGCTGCATAAAAGCCCTGACGCCCTGGAAAGCTGTAGACTGGTATCAGTCCGGTGTGAGTTTGGGCGTGAACACAAGGAGAAAAATGATCACGACAGATGCCTCCAAAATAGGCTGGGGGGCCCTTTACGAGGGCAGGCCTGTCTCCGGCTTGTGGTCAAACCCGGAGAAGCGCCTACATATAAACTGTCTGGAATTGAAAGCGGTCGCTTTGGCTCTCAGAGCCCTGCTCCCGTACCTGAAGGACGAGCACGTTCTAGTCCGAACGGACAACATGACGGTAGTCTCGCATATAAATCGTCAGGGTGGACTCAGATCGAGCTCCCTGCACTCGATGGCCAGGGAGCTCCTCCTATGGTCCCAGCACAACCTGCGCTCGCTGAGAGCAGCGCATGTGCCAGGCGTTCTGAACCAGGGAGCGGACATGCTGTCCAGAGACAAAGTTCTCCCAGGAGAATGGTCTCTCCACCCCCTGACGATTCAGTGGTTATGGCAAACCTTTGGCAGAGCAGAGGTCGACCTCTTTGCCTCCAAGGAAAATGCGCACTGCCCTCTCTTCTTTTCAAAGAGCACAGACGCGCTCGCCCAAGTCTGGCCGAGCCGCCCGCTGTATGCCTTCCCTCCGGTCGCGATGCTGCCTCAGGTCATCAGTCGGATCAGGGAGGAGAAATGTGCAGTGCTCCTGGTAGCCCCACTCTGGAAGAACCAGACGTGGTTTCCAGAACTGATGCAGATGATGCAATCTGCCCCATGGCCGATTCCACTGAGGCTAGATCTCCTCAGGCAGGCCAACGGGATGATCCTCCATCCCCGCCCCGATCTGTGGGCCCTTCATGCGTGGCCCCTCAACAGATTCCCGGGAACCTCCCCAGTGGAGTGTTGAGAACCATCACTGAGGCGCGAGCGCCCTCTACGAGGCGCTTATATGCCCAGAAATGGAAGGTGTTCGGTGACTGGTGTAAATCCAGGAACCTGAATCCTGAGACATGCGAAGTACCGAGTGTGCTCGTTTTCTTACAAGAGCTGTTGGAGGCAGGCCGCACCCCCTCCACGCTCAAAGTATATGTGGCTGCCATAGCGGCATCACATGAACCGGTCGAAGGACGCACACTAGGAAAAAACTACCTAGTTGTTCGTTTCCTGAGGGGCGCCAGGAGGATAAATCCCCCACGCCCCCCCTCGGTGCCGATTTGGGACCTGGCCACGGTCCTGGATGCACTTAAGCGTGCCCCGTTCGAACCCCTCCGAACTGTGCACCTTAAACAGCTCTCGCTCAAAACTGCTCTCTTGCTGGCTCTCGCCTCGGTCAAGAGAGTGGGCGACCTGCACGCGCTGTCTTCAAGCGCTACCTGCCTGGAGTTTGGACCTAACGACAGCAGGGTTGTCCTCAGGCCAAAACACGGGTATATTCCTAAGGTGCTCTCTACTCCTTTCAGAGCACAGGTGATATCTTTGGCCGCGCTATCGTCCCCAGCAGACGAAAGTGACGCTAATTTACTCTGCCCGGTCAGGGCACTCAGAGTATATTTGGAACGCTCTGCCCTGTTCAGACAGACAGAGCAGTTGTTCGTATGCTTTGGCGGCCGCACTAAAGGTCTGGCTGTGTCAAAGCAAAGAATATCGCGCTGGATAGTTGATGCTATAGCGCTGGCTTATGAAGCCAAGGGCCTTCAGTGCCCCTTGGGCATCAGAGCTCACTCTACGAGAGGCATGGCCTCCTCGTGGGCGTGGTCGAGTGGGATACCCATTCAAGATATTTGTGCGGCTGCAGGCTGGGCCTCACCATCCACATTTATTAGGTTTTATAACCTACAGGTCCCCTCATTGCATTCTAACATACTGTCGGTCTAACTATCATAGGCTGGGGTGTGTACATGCTGAGCATTGTCTCCTCCCTCATAGAATCACATCTTTGAAACTGATGTGGAGGATTTTTCATACATGACAGTACATGAAAATGTGCTTGTGTGTGTCTCTGGACGCCCATCGGGCCGTTCCACGTTGTCCTTTTATAAAACCCGCCTTCGGCTGGCTCGTTGGATAATTACTTCGCTCAAAGGCTCAGGCACCGGCCTCCGGCTTAATAGAAGTGAAGTCAGCATGCACGGCGTTTTACATGGCGTTCCCATAGCGTAAGCTTACGCAATAGGAGGAACCTCTCGAAAGGGAACGACTCGGTTACTAACGTAACCTCGGTTCCCTGAGAGGAGGGAACGAGTATTGCGTAATCTGCCGTGCTTGTGCTTGGTCAGTTTGCTTCAGTCGATTGAACCTAAAGAACTCAGACGACGGGGCGCCCAATATATAGCCCTTGGCCACGCCCATCTTGGCGGGCTCTGACGCGCGTGGGCGCAAAGCACGCTCATTGGAAGCGGGTTCAGAGTCGCCCCGTCATTGGTTCGTGCAAGTTGCCGCAGCACAGCCAATGACCGAGCTGCCTCGCTCATTGCTGTATGCTGTGCAGCTGCAATGCGTTTTACATAAAGACTTCAATATTTCTCAAGAAAAGGAGTTTTCCCATAGCGTAAGCTTACGCAATACTCGTTCCCTCCTCTCAGGGAACCGAGGTTACGTTAGTAACCGAGTCGTTTTGTTCACACATCAACTGAAAACAGCACAGAATAAAAGATTCTTGGGGATTTATTATATTATTATTTATTATATTTTTAACCCCGTCGGTTTTCTCACCTCTCGTTCGGTTCTCCTGCAGAAATTATGTGAAGATAAGTGTGTTGAGGAGGTTTTGAAGAGGAACTTTAACTCCAGTAAAGATCTCCGCTCTCTGCATTCGCTGCTGGTAAGTTAAGATGAATTCATCTCTCGTTCAGACCACAGCTGGACATCTTGTGCGCCTGTGTTTCTGTGCGAGTAAGCGATGTCAACGATAAATCAATGATCCGAATAAGTAAGGGTTAATGCCCTTCGAGGTGTCCACATTGTCAGGTATTAATGGACGACGGCGAGGCGTGAACCGTCCGACGCGAACCGAAGGCAATGGACACCTCGAAGGGCATTAACCCGCTTATACCATGGTCACTTGCCAAATAACACATTTTTAAAACATTAGTTTATATTTTAATTAGTTTTCCAATCGAAATCTAAAGTTTTTACAAACAATAACTTGGTTTCCCTCATTACGCCTGAAGGTTTATTTAGCAACCGGAGATATTTATAGTCCGCTATGTAGTCTGAATTGTTTGGATTTAGTTGCTGTGTTAACATGAGCTACACATTATAATTTAATAAATGATCAATCACATCGACTCACTTTAAAATCCTACTAGCTCTTTTTTTAGATTAAAAACCCTTCTCATTAATTTGGTGAGGAACAGCCGTTTTGAGCAGCATTTGTACTATATTTACGATTACTATACTATTTGTATATTGCAGTATTAAGGCTAACGATGAATTGATCGCTAATTTAAACGCCGATCGATCATGGGAATTTGTGTAAATTGACATCCGTAGTGTGAACATGTGTTTGTGTTGTAGTTTCTGGCTGTGAGTCGAGTGTGTGTGTCTCATTCGACCCTCCGTGAGTCTGATCTGCTGGAGGCCAGTCGCCTGATCTCAGCCGACTCGAAAGCAAACGTCCTTCACGGTGAGACACTGACTCATGATACTGATGTTTACATGATTTACACCGCATCTCTATGGGCCTGTTCACATCTGGTCATCTGATTTGTCAAAACGATTCCGTTTACACTTGCCCACATAAATGTGTCACTGCATAACGGATATAAATCGGATCTTCAATTCCCGCGCTATATGCAGATATAATGAAGTTCACGTCAGCGAAAGCAACACATGTGAGCTGCATTTTATTGATCATCAGCTAATGTAAAAATCAAAGATTGCAATAGGAGAGAGAGTGGCATCAGCTTCACCTGTAAGACCATGTAGTCTCGGTACTTTTAATGAAGACGATTGTGTTTTGAGCATTTTATTTGCGGCAGTTTTTGCATTTGTTTAATGAAGAGATACACAGATTCATCTGCGGTGATGCGTACTGCAATAGCGCTATAATATGACATATAGCCTATAACACGCTCGTCCAGTCATTTACACTCGTCCAGTTTTGTCGGGAACGCCTCAGGAAGATCCTGATGTGGTTTGAGAGAAGGATTTAACCCTCTGGGCTTCTTCGGTCTAAAATGACCGAAAACTGTTACGTTTTGAAATGGTCATTTTTTTTTTGCTTCATCGGAATGGGATAAAACTTGGTGACTTTTGTTGTATTACTACAGTATGTGAACACACAACAAAATCAAGGAGATGATTCGGATATGTTAAAGGGTCGAAAAAAAAGTCACACTTAGCTTCCTCCAGGTCAAAAATGACCGACCATAGGAAATGAATGGGAAATACGAAAAAATAGGAAAACTCAGAGAAACTTTTGGTGGTACAAACTACAGATCAGCCACTGTGCAGAAAAAAAAGTGTAGAGCAATGAAGGGGTGACACTCTAAAACATCAAGAGTGCAAATAAGACACCTCCCCCCACACACACACACACAGATAAACTGGCAAGACTTCAACAGCAAATTTTTAGAATGTGCAAAATAAAATCAATAAATGAAAAAAAATAAACTCGCTCAAATGCACACACACACACAACAACACACTCACAGAGAGCGGGAGAGATAAACTGTTTGCATTGTGTTCCCTTTTTAACCAAATATTATTGTTTGATTGTAATCATAATGCAAAACCGGATACTTATCTTAAAAAAAAAGTAGCCTTTTAGAATATCTAAATATGTATCTAAAAAAAACAAACGAATAAGATAGAGAAATCATGTCTAAAACAACAATAGGAATCAAAAAGCCTTTACATTTATATATTTTTAAAGCCACTAGATGGCGGTCTTCTCAACTTGAATTCTTTCTTTTTTTTAGGCCTGCACTAAACTTAATTCTAATGGGAAAAAATTTATAAAAAAATATTATTGAACAAAAATATATTTCATTGGTTTTCCTGGTTTTCCCTGCGATATAAATTGCGGTATGAAAACAATTTCACTAGATAAATTGAATAGCTCTGTTTGTAAAGAATTGATAGGGGTGATTTTTATGGGGAGTGCGTCGGCATAGAAGCCTAGATAAATACAATAGAGCAAAGATACAAATTAAATAAAAATGCTTTGTTTTTCAGGTAAATATAACCGTATTCAGGACAGGTACAGAAACTGAATAATCAAATGTAAGATAACACTATTTACTGTATGAATTAAATATCCCTTATGTGCTGTTGGGGATGTTTTCATCCACTATGGGGTATTTTTGAGTCTTAATTTGGCCATAACTTTCTCCGTGTTTCAGCAAATGGAATGATTTTTGGTGACAAATGTTATTTTGACACATATTTTGGGATAATGCTTTGAAAATTTGCAAAAACTCAACAGTACACTGTGGGCAAATTCACTACCCTTTCGTTATGTTCGTGGCTGAAAACAGCCACTACTTTAAACTGCTGAAAAAATGTATCAGATAAATATTTTTTTCAATTTTTTTTTGCATAAATCTATTTATCAACCTCAGTCCTGATCAAAACTACTTAATGTTTTAAAAAAAAAAAATCTGGATTTTAACTCTTTAATTCCCAAATTCATAAATGATGTCACTGATTTGGGAAAAAAAAACACAAAATGGCTAATTTTCAATATAAAATGTGATTGTGGACTGGATTTATTTTAACCTTTTATCACAGTCTTGGTCATGTCAAAGATTAGAAACAACATTGGTTTTGATTGTTTTTGTGCAGCATCAGATTTTAACTTTTTCTCCCTCATTTACTGTTTGTGGCTGTTTTTGCCCCATTGACTTCCATTATAACCACAATTTTTGATTGCAAAGCCATGACACCATAAAATCATGCATTTTTGATTGTTGGTGGTTTTCCCTGTTGGGAAGAGGTAAAATTTGACATTTTTACTGTTGATAACCAGGTGGCACCATTAACCCTTTAGATAGGCCTGTGCAAAAAAAGCTTAGTTTACATGGAGTTATATGGAGTATAATAGCATATTAAAGTGTGTGTGAGTGTGTGAGAGAGAGAGAGTGTGAGAACTCACCTTGATGCGTCTGAGAAAATCAAAATATGCACCTCAGATCTACACTCTATGATTGTTAAACTTTGCAATGCACACATTGCGATATCGATGCTAAAATGATATATCGTGCAGCCCGACAGGAAATGCATGGGGTGATCAGGTGTAAACAGGAACACTCATCTCTAACTTTCTCACTTGCCTTTCCTCCAGGTCTGTCTATTCTAGAGCTGTGTTTGATTATTGCTATGAAACATCTGAATGACACTTATGATGGAGAACCCTTCAATTTCCAGATGGTTCATAACGGTACGACATCCTTCCGCACATTTAAAGTGGTGTTTTATGTGTGAATGCTCATTTTCAGCTCAAGTGAATGTAATTCCCTCCTTCCCTCAGAGTTTAAGAAGTTCATTCAGAGGAAGTCTCACTCCATCCATAAGTTTGAGCAGCCTGTGGTGATGAAGGTCAGTGCGAGTGTTTAGACTGTCAGCCTGTTCCAGCATTAAAGGGGTGATGAACTGAGAAATCAAATCTTCCTTGAGCTTTTGACATCTAAGAGGTCATCAAATTATAAGAATATCCTGTAAGTTTCAGAACTGAAAACGTCCTTGTTAGTCCAATAAAAGCTTTTATTGACACCAGGCTCAGCAAACGACTCGTTTTTCAAAGTGGGGAACTATGACGACAAAGAGGATAAAACACCAGACCCGCAGAAGAAGATCAACGCCTACTTCAACACGGCCGGTTTAGCCCCGCCCACCGATTCGCGCATTACACGAAACTCATTATAATATGCAAAACTGTTATCCACTCACAGCAGTGGGCGTTTACTTTCAAGTGTTCAATGCGAGACGCCCATAAAAACAGAGCGTTTTTGAGCTAGGCTCAAAACTAGGGTAGAAAATAGCCTATTACTTATTCATTTTGATGTTTTTGAATGTAAAAACCAAGCGAATGTCATAAGTTGACCTCAGACAACAATATAAAACAATTTAAAAAGCCAGTTCATGACCCCTTTAATACCTCATTCATGAGCTCACACACACTAGATGTGTAACGGTGTGAAGAGCTTCAGGACGGGTCTTTTGGGTTTGATGCACGTGTGTACAGAGTGAATACGGTGTTGTTTTAAGCACTGCACGTGGAGAACGTTAAATATTTCAGAATAAGGTTTGAATTATTCCGCTTCTATTCTAATGCTCTGCGTTTATTTGATGCACATCATTTGCTTTTTATTTAGCTCTGTGTGTGTGTCTGTCTCTGTGTGTGTGTGTGTGTGTGTTTGTCTCTGTGTGTGCCTGTGTTTGTGTCTTTGTCTTTGTGTGTGCCTGGGTTTGTGTTTTTCTCTTTGTGTCTGTGTGCCTGGGTTTGTGTCTTTCTCTTTGTGTGTGTGTGTGTGTGTGCGCCTGTGTTTGTGTCTTTCTCTTTGTGTGTCTGTGTCTGGGTTTGTGTCTTTCTCTTTGTGTGTGTGTGTGTGTGTGTGTGTGTGTGTGTGTGTGTGTGTGTGTGTGTGTGTGTGTGTGTGTGTATGTGTGTTTGTGCCTGTGTTTGTGTCTTTCTCTTTGTGTGTCTGTGTGCCTGGGTTTGTGTCTTTCTCTTTGTGTGTGTGTGTGTGTGTGCGCCTGTGTTTGTGTCTCTCTCTGTGCGTGTATCTGTCTGTGTGTGTGTGTGTGTGTGTGTGTGTGTGTGTTTTTGTCTGTGTGTGTGTGCCTGTGTTTGTTTCTTTCTCTGTGTGTGTCTCTGTGCATTGTGTGTGTGTGTGTGTGTGTGTGTGTGTGTGTGTGTGTGTGTGTGCGCCTGTGTTTGTGTTTTTCTCTGTGCGTGTGTGTCTGTCTCTGTGCGTGTGTGTGTGTGTTTGTGTCTTTCTGTGTGTGTGCCTGTGTTTGTGTCTTTCTGTGTGTGTGTGTGTGTGTGTACATGTTTTTCTATCCCGGTGGGGACTTAAACCTGAATGCACATAGACTCATGGGGACTCGTGTCACTGTGGGGACCTACATTGAGGTTCCTATGGGTAAACACGCTTATAAATCATACAGAATATTTTTTTTTAAAAATGCAGAATGTTTCCTGTGATGGGTAGGTTTAGGGATAGGGTTAGTGTAAGGGGACAGAAAATACAGTTTGTACAGTATAAAAACCATTACGTCTATGGAGAGTCCTCACAAAGATAGTCGTGTGTGTGTGCATGTGTGTGTGTTTAGGCATTTGAGCATCTCCTGCAGCTGGAGCTGGTTCGTCCTGTAGACTCAGGTGTGTGTAAAGTCCAGCGTGAGTATCAGCTGATGAAGCTGATGCTGGAACACACTCAGGTGATGGAGGCGCTGCAGAAATACCCACAATGCCCCACAGACGTCAAGCAGTGGGCGCTCTCGGCCTTCGGCTGACACCGCCCTCTTTAACTGCTCAAATATGCATTTTGTAAAATGCATTTGTATAGTTTATATTTGCAATAAAAAATAAGTTAATATAATTGCTACTTTGTAATGTCTTTGTATCAAACACTCTCCTGGTTCCATGAATAGATGATGTTTTTGTGTTAACGGTTTGAGAACATTATAAAAGACCACATGACTTTTCCCTCATCCTTCCCTCACTTTGTAACGCATCATTCCCTCTCGGGTCAAAATTACCGGAAGCCCTAAAATTATAGTTAGTGGTATAGTATAATTTTTTGTTCAGAAAGCATATTTTATTTCATTTTGATCATATTTTTTCTATTTTGTAATGCTATTTTTTTTATGTTTCATTTTCCCTTAAATTACTAGATTTGATCAATAAATAATAAATAAATAGTAATTTACGCACATTCTTTCAACTTAAATTCAAAATAACTCACAATTTAATGCATACCCTTTAAATTCAGCTCAAAATATCTATTTTTAGTTTGAATTTTGAGCATTTTTAGGTATTTCTATGTGTACTAAAGCATTCCATTCATTCTTAAGGGGGTCAAATTGACCCGCGAGTGAAGGAATTGTTACTTTTTTTTTATTTTAACCACAAAACTCCTCGAATTCATTAAATTATTTGTGTGTGTGTGTATTTGTGGTTCAAGTGCGACTTAAGTCCTGGGGTCTATAAATAACCCGAGGGAAGGAAGAGATTTAAATGTGACACAAACAACAAAACGAAGAGTACGTAATTATGAAGGTCATTTAATTGATTGTTGATTGATCATGATTAATTGCAGGGGTCCATGATCCTGCGCATGGAGCTGAACCTGAAGCCCATGTCCCTGAAGCTCCTGTACTCTCCGGGTCTCAGGTACATCATTCTGCCCCGGTACTGCGGCTGCTCGTACATCAGCCAGTGCCCGTCCATCACGTGACAGGACCGCATCTCAGCCAGACGGTAGCGGTCCGTCATGGACTCGCAGTCATCCGTGAGCTCGTGCATCGTCCCACCGAAGTTCTCCCTCTCGTAGATCCTCATCCTGAAGGCTCCTCTGTGCTGCTCAAACACACAAACACACACACACTAGAACACAGTTCTGGAGGTATTGATGTAACTATGCATCAATGAGAGTTAACACAATTTTACTTTTTTTATCCCAATGGTACGAAACTTGGTAAAGGTTTTGGCACTTGCTGTGAGAACACACAAAAAAAATCATGGACATGATTTGAACAGGTTAAATGGTCCTGAATAAAATAGTCACATGTGCTCTTCGTGGTCAAAAAGCCAAACATGGTTTCCTCTAGTGGAAGCGTTCGGTACTGCAGCCAAATCAAATCTGAACGCTGATAGTCTGAATGTTTTGAGATATCAACCTCAAGTTTTTTATTTATGGCTTTGATTTTCTCACAGTTTTACAGTAAACATGTTTTTGAAAATATGTATTTCATATACAAATTTATTTTTATTAATAAGTGTAAAATTCTCTAACTTTTAAGTTAACTTTTTACACTTCAGCAATAATCTGTCAAGTGCCCTTTTTAAAGAGATCAAACTTCAGTCTGTTGCTCTAAAGATTTACTACAGTTTAAGTTGGGAATTTAATCTTCAGGTCTATGCTCAAAAAGTGAATAAATGGATTATAATTTAGTATCATAAAATCCTCTAAAAATACAAAATATTAAATAAAAAAACACTATCGAACTAAAATATAGTAGCCTACATTAATTTCATTGAAATAAAATAATTTCGGACATATTTGACCAACACGCGAAGAGGGTTGGGGTTTTGATTTGTTAAAAAATGTCATTAAATTGAATTAATGTACTATATTTTAGTTCGATAATGTTTTTTATTTAGTATTTTGACCGTGACCCAGAGTGGGGCGCTGTACCTGCGGGATGATCCTGCAGGATCGGATGGAGTCGCTCAGGCCCAGTCTCTTGCAGTCGGAGTACTCGCCTCGACGAGCGAAGAACTGGTTCCCCATGAAGTTGGAGCGGTCGTAGACCATGAAGCAGCCGCTCTCCACCCGGCAGGAGCTGCAGCGGCTCAGGAACGAGTTGAGCTCCGGGCAGTCATTACCCGTCTCGTACGAGCGGCCCTGGAAGTTTCTGTCCTCGTAGAAGATTATCTGGACCAAACACAAACATGAAGTTTATTAGGAGACCCAGCTAATGTTCTCTCAACGTTTCCCAAGTAACGGTAATAGAACTTCTGCTATCTGGTCTTTAACTCTTTCCCTGCCGTTCGTGTTTTCACTGTTATGCGGTAGGTGGCGCTGTTACTCATCATCTGAAAGAGTACAGAATCTACGGATCAAAACAGATGAAGAAAAAGCAGAAACAAGCGATAGAAGCATTGCTGATGCACATGTAAAATAACATGATCATCAACATTAAACATCATACAAATCAAAACTGTCTATCGTTACTGAATGAAATGTTGAACCCATGAAGAGGAAACGACTGAAGCTTTGAGGTGTTGATGGACTCGATCTTCTCCATCTGTGTTCTGATCATCGCTCTGAATCCCGTCCGGACGAAGTCTTTGACAAAAACGCGTTTTTCTCAGTTTTTTGCTCAAAATTGCTTTTTTATTAATTTTTTTTGGTATAAATTATGCTGCTCTTTATTTTGTTTGCATGTTCAGATATTCATACAACAAAATATTCTGGGGTCCATGAAAATTTTGTAAAAATTTATTTGAAAAAGTTGCTGCTGGAATTTTTTTTTTTATTTTTTTTTTATTTATTTTTTTTATAAATGCTGGCAAGGAAAGAGTTAATAATGTTCTCAAAACATTAAAAACGTTATTTGTAAGTTTTTTTTCTGAAACATTTAGTTGGATGATCTTACAATTTTTCAAAATGTTACAAATTGTTTCAGAACGTTTAGAGAATATTCAAAAGTAATAGAAAAAGACCAAATGAAATGTTTCTTTAATGATTTCATAACCACGAATACAACAGAAAACATTCAAAAGTAACATTCCCATAATGTTTGCAGAATAAAATCCATGTTTAAATGCCATTAACATTCACATAACCAAGACAAAAAGAACATTTTGAACATTCATAAATGATGTTTTCATAGCTGAATGTGAAGAGTGGATGTTTGCTTACCTTGTTCATGGCTGGTTCTGTCTGTGCAGGAGTGATCCGCCGCTGGAGCTTTTATACTTGATCAGCTCTGCTATAGCTTTTTGTTATTCAAATAGTCAAAGCTGATGAACAAGCAAGAGAACTTTTCTGTTAATTTCTGCATCTATCACAGGCTTCCAGGAACAAAACCTGTTGTGCATCGAATGCAGTTTGTGCCTGAATGTTTTAGAAGATTAATGATCCATTTAGTCCATCATCAACACAATAAGAAATATAGTGCCTCACACAACACAATCATTCTTAGATGTGTGGGAATAAAGTAAGAAAAATATATAAATCCTGAACAATACTAAAAATTAGCATCGTCACAGCAATATTTGTATTATTAGCGTTTTGATCAGCCTGAGTTGTGGGATTTATATAGGCTATTTTATAATCATTATTATAGATGAATGCGTTGAAAAAGTAAGACATTCAAATGATTAAACACTGACTACCTTATCTCATCATTAAACCCAATAATTATTGAGGATTTCAACAAAATGCACACAATATGTTTGGAAAAAAATTGAGTTTTTAAAAGCATTTCTGTTCTCATTCCTGCTGGTTTTCCTGGATTGCTGCAGAATGTTATGAACCGCAAGTACAGTTATCAGGATATTTAAGAGGGTTTAAAAGACTGTTATTTAATAATATATTAATAATCAATAATCTTATTTAACCACAAACTATCAGATGAGAACAAAATTTGAGCTGATTTAATCTGAATTTTGTCTGCAATTCTGCTTACAGGGTAATCAAATTTGTTGCGTAACTCATGAACTTTGCAATGTTGACTGTCACTGAAGTAAAACTGAATCAACTTTGAACTGAATTCAGCTGAATTATGACACTGTAACTTGACATGGCACATTAGAATGAGGCGTTTAAAAAAATATGAAAAACATTGTTTATTAGCTTATCTAAGCTAAGTATTGAGGGTTAGCCAATTCTGAGAGAAGAACATAAACCAATATATTTAACCACACAATACACATTAAAGCCGAAAAATATATAGCCTATCTATGCAATTTTCAAGAAGTAAAATCACTAAAAGCCTTCCTTCCGCTGGATAAAATAGTCCCTGACCGTGAACAGCAACAGAAGTTACACACATTATTTCGTCATTAGATGGCGACAAAGACTGTCTTTATGAGTGAGTGAGTCAGTCAGTAGAGAAAACCTTTATATTGAAAGGACTCAAACTAGTGATCACGGAGAAGGAAGACTCAAGTTCACGCACGGACTATCGCCACGGAAAACCCCTGAACTGTTAAAAGTACAATATATCGAAGCGGACATTCAAACGGATGTTTTATTACGAAAATAGGACTGACGTCTTGAAGGAAAGTGCTATATCTACTGTAAATGCAGGTAAGTTACACAAGCTTACTCGATCTCTCACAATACTCTACTACTCTATAAGCTTCAATGAACAATATCAATGAGATCAAACGTGTTTAAGTTGCTAAGAGTACTTGCTAGGGGTGTTGTGTAGTGATACACAGAACCGTTGGGTGAAGCGGTCATAGTTGTGTTAATAGTAAATAAAACACAGCAGAATCAAGGATTGGAACTAACCGTTTTATATAGAGATGTAACGTTATTACATGAATTATTTATATCGCCTTATAGGTAACTTGGTTTTTGTATGTATTTTGTCTTCCGGTCTATATCTTCACAGCGGTCTTTGTATGAATGAACGGCTCGTTTTAAAATCTTCCCGGTCGACTGACATTTGTTAAAACATCTGCTTTAAACAATACAATCCTCATGACAACTTTCATTAACTTTACATTAAGTAAATCCACTTCAAAAGCTAATTACTCCTGGACAGCAATGGCCAAATATATACAGAGCGACCGCAAAACCGGAAGTTCAAAGACGATATTCTAAAGATGGCTGCGGCCTTGTTTCTCTGGTGCATAAGGTCTATAAATCAAGACAAATATAATTTACCATCAGAAATGTGATATATAGTGACTCCTTTCTATGACCATAGGTTGAGATCAGTCTTATTCAAATGATAAATTAATGTCAATGTGTTTGTGTATCTGAGGCCTAGGACAAAAGAGATCTGATCTGTGTTGATGATGATTCAGGGAGATTTTCCCATGAGCTGAAGCGTGTGTGTGTGTGTGTGTGTGTGTGAGTGACAGGAGCGCTGAGAACGCTGAAATAGTTTGATCCATCTGAGTGAACACACACAAACAGCTGATCCCACATCAGCCCCAGCACTGGACAGGACACAATCACAATCACTCCGGACGGTAAACCATCAGCCTCTGTTTGCTCCAGGAAAGATTTATCCACACTTATTATTTTGACAGGCATGAGTGAAATGAATAATACAAAATTAGTGTAACTAATGGTACACATATCCAAAGTTTTATTTTTGAACTATAGATGTACCTCTTCCAGGTCAAAAAGGACCCATAACGGCAAGCACGGAAATTAACGTTACATGAATTTAAAAACACATTTTGCATATTTGCAGGGAAACATAAGCTGTGTTTTCAATCAGAGTCTATTAACACTGTTACAATGAAAGGCTCAAAAACAAAATAAGATTCGTTAACCCCTTAACTGTCACCCACATTTTTTTCCGAATAGACGTGAAAAATCACTATCCAAACGGTTGATATCTCAAGAAAATTAGCTTTTAGTAAGATTTTCTTTGGGCGCAGTTCCAAACTTTTTCACTAGATGGCAGCCAAGCTTATATGACCTAATAAGGGCACATCTATTTACATATGATTTGAATTATCTGATTTGAACTAGGGCTGGGCAAAAAAATCGATTTTTCGATTAAATGTGATTAAAATGTGGTCGATTCAAAATCGATTCTCAACGGCCACGAATCGATTTTTTCCATATTCAGGGCTCGCGGTGCTGCGTCTTCTCATTCTGCACAAGGCAAGCGTCAAGCGCTGCAGGCGTCGATACACACCAGAGACTATTTATATACACACTCGTGTTTAGGAGTCGGGACATGATTCACTTGCACAATCGGGCCAGCATTGCATCGTAACTAACGTTTATCATTTTCACGTCTTTTTTAAGTTTTACCAGTTTAAACATTCAAGCAATTTTAAACTATCCTGTGCTCGCGCACTCGTGCATGTTTTGCATTGCGTGCACATACAGTAAAGCCTAAATCCGCCTCACAAACAGCTCGCCAGTAACAAAAGTTCTTTTTCGTGGATTATATTGCTTTAACAGTTAAAAACACGCAAAATGATGTCAAAACTCTGGTCTTGGTGAGTAACCTCGTAAAGACAGTCGGTCGGTTATGTCTTAAATAAGCATAAAACGCGTGTGACAGACAGTATAATGAAACAGTAATGGATCCGTGCACTAGTTCTTAAAGTGAACGCAGCCATATGTGTCTGCAGAGCCGGCCCTAGACCTTTGGGGGCCCTAAGCAAAATTTGGTTGGAGGCCCCTTTGACCGTTTTAAGGCCTAAAGAAAAGCAATGACTACCTTATAACTACACCATACTATATAACTATATTATACTGTATATACTATGTTTGATGTCTAACAGGAAAATTATGATACCACTGAGCTGAATGGCAGTGCAAGACACACACACACACACTGATTAACTTGCTGAATAAAAAGACAAAGTGATTATCACTGAACAAAGATACATTTTTATTGACACCAGAGTTTAAGAGTCTCAAACTACAGCACACACACACACATATATATATATATATATATGTATATGTATATGTATATATATATATATATATATATATATATATATATATATATATATATATATATATATATATAAATATAAATATAATATTATATAAAATAATAAATAGATTTTTCAAATAAACAAAATTAACAATAACACCTAAAACACCACAAAGAAGATCAATAGTAACAATATTAAGAATAAGGTAACAATTCAATATAACTATTAAAATCCAATCCAAATAAAGAAAATAATTATACATAAAGTTAGACTTAATTTTTAAAATGCAGAAGGTTATCATTT